ATATTTTGCACAGACATGGGTCAAAGACATCTTCTAGAGATGAAAAAAGGCCTTTTTGAAAAGTCATAAATTTTGGCCAAATTTTTTCTCAAAAAGGGTCATTTTTCACATTTCACAAAATGATCTGCAGAAACATATTTTGAACAGACAGGGGTCAAAGACATCTTCTAGAGATGAAAAAAGGCCCTTTTGAAAATTGATGAATTTTGGCCAAAATGATGGGCTAACCCCTTGCCATTTTTCTCAAAAAGCGGCATTTTTCACATTTTACGAAATGATCTGCAAAAACATATTTTCACAGACATGGGTCAAAGACTTCTTCTAGAGATGAAAAAAGGCCTTTTTGAAAATTCTTAAATTTTGGCCAAAATGATGGGCTAACCCCTTGCCATTTTTCTCAAAAAGGGGCATTTTTCACATTGCACAAAATGAACTTTAAAAACATATTTTGCACAGACATGGGTCAAAGATATCTTCTAGAGATGAAAAAAGGCCTTTTTGAAAATTCATGAATTTTGGCCAAAATGATTGCCTAAACCCTTGCCATTTTTCTCAAAAAGGGGCATTTTTCACATTTCACGAAATGATCTGCAAAAGCATATTTTGAACAGACAGGGGTCATAAACATCTTCTAGAGATGAAAAAAGGCCTTTTTGAAAATTAATAAATTTTGGCCAAAATGATGGGCTAACCCCTTGCCTTTTTTTTCAAAAAAGGGGCATTTGTTACATATCACGAAATGATCTTTAAAAACATATTTTGCATAGACATGGGTCAAAGACATCTTCTAGAGATGAAAAAAGGCCTTTTTGAAAATTCATAAATTTTGGCCAAAATGATGGGCTAACCCCTTGCCATTTTTCTCAAAAAGGGGCATTTTTCATATTTCACGAAATGGTCTGCAAAAACAAATTTTAAACAGACAGGGGTCATAAACATCTTCTAGAGATGAAAAAAGGCCTTTTTGAAAATTAATTTTGGCCAAAATGATGGGCTAACCCCTTGCCATTTTTCTCAAAAAGGGGCATTTTTCACATTTCACGAAATGATCTGCAAAAACATATTTTAAACAGACAGGGGTCATAGACATCTTCTAGAGATGAAAAAAGGCCTGTTTGAAAATTAATGAATTTTGGCCAAAATGATGGGCTAACCCCTTGCCATTTTTCTCAAAAAGGGGCATTTTTCACATTGCACAAAATGAACTTTAAAAACATATTTTGCACAGACATGGGTCAAAGATATCTTCTAGAGATGAAAAAAGGCCTTTTTGAAAATTCATGAATTTTGGCCAAAATGATTGCCTAAACCCTTGCCATTTTTCTCAAAAAGGGGCATTTTTCACATTTCACGAAATGATCTGCAAAAGCATATTTTGAACAGACAGGGGTCATAAACATCTTCTAGAGATGAAAAAAGGCCTTTTTGAAAATTAATAAATTTTGGCCAAAATGATGGGCTAACCCCTTGCCTTTTTTTTCAAAAAAGGGGCATTTGTTACATATCACGAAATGATCTTTAAAAACATATTTTGCATAGACATGGGTCAAAGACATCTTCTAGAGATGAAAAAAGGCCTTTTTGAAAATTCATAAATTTTGGCCAAAATGATGGGCTAACCCCTTGCCATTTTTCTCAAAAAGGGGCATTTTTCATATTTCACGAAATGGTCTGCAAAAACAAATTTTAAACAGACAGGGGTCATAAACATCTTCTAGAGATGAAAAAAGGCCTTTTTGAAAATTAATTTTGGCCAAAATGATGGGCTAACCCCTTGCCATTTTTCTCAAAAAGGGGCATTTTTCACATTTCACGAAATGATCTGCAAAAACATATTTTAAACAGACAGGGGTCATAGACATCTTCTAGAGATGAAAAAAGGCCTGTTTGAAAATTAATGAATTTTGGCCAAAATGATGGGCTAACCCCTTGCCTTTTTTCTCAAAAAGGGGCAATTTTCACATTTCACGAAATGATCTTTAAAAACATATTTTGCATAGACAGGGGTCAAAGACATCTTCTAGAGATGAAAAAAAGGCCTTTTTGAAAAGTCATAAATTTTGGCCAAATTTTTTCTCCAAAAGGGGCATTTTTCACATTTCACAAAATGATCTGCAGAAACATATTTTGAACAGACAGGGGTCAAAGACATCTTCTAGAGATGAAAAAAGGCCTTTTTGAAAATTCATAAATTTTGGCCAAAATGATGGGCTAACCCCTTGCCATTTTTCTCAAAAAGGGGCATTTTTCATATTTCACGAAATGATCTGCAAAAACATATTTTAAACAGACAGGGGTCAAAGACATCTTCTAGAGATGAAAAAAGGCCTTTTTGAAAATTCATGAATTTTGGCCAAAATGATGGGCTACCCTTGCCATTTTTCTCAAAAAGGGGCATTTTTCATATTTCACGAAATGATCTGCAAAAACATATTTTAAACAGACAGGGGTCAAAGACATCTTCTAGAGATGAAAAAAGGCCTTTTTGAAAATTAATAAATTTTGGCCAAAATGATGGGCCAACCCCTTGCCATTTTTCTCAAAAAGGGGCAATTTTCACATTTCACGAAATGATCTGCAAAAACATATTTTGAACAGACAGGGGTCAAAGACATCTTCTAGAGATGAAAAAAAGGCCTTTTTGAAAATTCATAAATTTTGGCCAAAATGATGGGTTAACCCCTTGCCTTTTTTTTCAAAAAAGAGGCATTTGTTACATATCACGAAATGATCTTTAAAAACATATTTTGCATAGACATGGGTCAAAGACATCTTCTAGAGATGAAAAAGGGCCTTTTTGAAAATTAATAAATTTTGGCCAAAATGATGGGCTAACCCCTTGCCGTTTTTTTTTTTCAAAAAAGGGGCATTTGTTACATATCACGAAATGACCTTTAAAAACTTATTTTGCATAGACATGGGTCAAAGACATCTTCTAGAGATGAAAAAAGGCCTTTTTGAAAATTAATAAATTTTGGCCAAAATGATGGGCCAACCCCTTGCCATTTTTCTCAAAAAGGGGCATTTTTCATATTTCACGAAATGATCTGCAAAAACATATTTTAAACAGACAGGGGTCAAAGACATCTTCTAGAGATGAAAAAAGGCCTTTTTGAAAATTCATGAATTTTGGCCAAAATGATGGGCTACCCTTGCCATTTTTCTCAAAAAGGGGCATTTTTCATATTTCACGAAATGATCTGCAAAAACATATTTTAAACAGACAGGGGTCATAAACATCTTCTAGAGATGAAAAAAGGCCTGTTTGAAAATTAATGAATTTTGGCCAAAATGATGGGCTAACCCCTTGCCTTTTTTCTCAAAAAGGGGCAATTTTCACATTTCACGAAATGATCTTTAAAAACATATTTTGCATAGACAGGGGTCAAAGACATCTTCTAGAGATGAAAAAAAGGCCTTTTTGAAAAGTCATAAATTTTGGCCAAATTTTTTCTCCAAAAGGGGCATTTTTCACATTTCACAAAATGATCTGCAGAAACATATTTTGAACAGACAGGGGTCAAAGACATCTTCTAGAGATGAAAAAAGGCCTTTTTGAAAATTCATAAATTTTGGCCAAAATGATGGGCTAACCCCTTGCCATTTTTCTCAAAAAGGGGCATTTTTCACATTTCACGAAATGATCTGCAAAAACATATTTTAAACAGACAGGGGTTAAAGACATCTTCTAGAGATGAGAAAAGGCCTTTTTGAAAATTCATAAATTTTGGCCAAAATGATGGGCTACCCCCTTGCCATTTTTCTCAAAAAGGGGCAATTTTCACATTTCACAAAATGATCTGCAAAAACATATTTTGAACAGACAGGGGTCAAAGACATCTTCTAGAGATGAAAAAAGGCCTTTTTGAAAATTCATGAATTTTGGCCAAAATGATGGGCTAAACCCTTGCCATTTTTCTCAAAAAGGGGCATTTTTCACATTTCACGAAATGATCTGCAAAAACATAGTTTGAACAGACAGGGGTCAAAGACATCTTCTAGAGATGAAAAAAGGCCTTTTTGAAAATTCATAAATTTTGGCCAAAATGATGGGCTAACCCCTTGCCATTTTTCTCAAAAAGGGGCATTTTTCACATTTCACGAAATGATCTGCAAAAACATATTTTGAACAGACAGGGGTCAAAGACATCTTCTAGAGATGAAAAAAGGCCTTTTTGAAAATTCATAAATTTTGACCAAAATGATGGGCTAACCCCTTGCCATTTTTCTCAAAAAGGGGCATTTTTCACATTTCACAAAATGATCTGCAAAAACATATTTTGAACAGACAGGGGTCAAAGACATCTTTGACAGTTGAAAAAAGGCCTTTTGAAAATTGATAAATTTTGGCAAAATAATCTGCAGTTACATATTTTGAATTAAAGGCATCGTTATCAATGTTAATACTGAGATGCACGGCCCTATGACTTATCGGTGTATGTGATATGGTGTAATATTGAAGCCCTAAAAAAATTGTGATTCAAAATGATCAAGAAGTGCCTTAAAAGTGTAAAAATCTTTGAGTGACCAGCTTTACCATACTGATTTTCCCCAATAGACTGTAGTGCTATGAATACCTTTAGGAAAACGCAAAACTTGATTTCGATTTCTAATCATAAATATCTTGATAATCAGACACGCGATCAGCTTGTAAAAGTCATGGGGTTTCCGACTGACCGTCTCAAGGTTTATAATTATCATTGCAGCATGAGCTAAATCCAGGATTTTGTTTAGAATCTGAGATAAAATTACCCAATCCCTTTAACAGGGGTCATAGACACCTTCCACAGATGAGATGAGGCCTCTTTGAAAATGTTCGAATTTTAACCCACAATGATGGGCTAACCTCTTGCCATTTATTTATCTTTTTTTTGTTGAGAGAGAGAGAGAGACAAGAGAGATTTAAGAGATGGCTGGATGGAAAAAGAACTAAAATCAAAAGACATGTGATTGAGAGTTAGAGAGGGCTACAACACAATAATGAACACAGAATAAACTTGTGTTGTCATACAAAGTGCATCAAATCTACTTTGTTTCTGTATTTATTCCCATAAACTCCATTTATCTCCTCCAATTTAGAACGTACAATAGGCAGCCACACTGAAAACATCAAGCCTTTAAAGACAACATACAGACTTCTGTCATAGAATATTCTAAACACTTGCATGTACAACTGTTAACTTTTTAACTTTCTTTGTTAAACAATTTCTTTTACATAGAGCCACTTCATTTTTCATTAAGCCGATTAACAAAGTATAGAATCTTTATCCACAAAATAAGAAAGAGTAGATTATACATGTACATATAGAAAGGCAAGTACGTTTGTACATTCATGTTAAATAAATGTCCAAAGGAATTCATCCATATACAAGTACTGAAGGCTCATATAGCATATCAATAAAAACTATTGTCTTTCAAATAAATTTAAAATGAAAGAAAGAAGATTAAAATGCTAAATATTATCGAAATTTTCTTCTTGGTTCACATGATATGCCTGTAGACTTGTACATGTTGTTTTATTCATGAATATGTTAATGTATAAATCTAATAATTTGAATATAAGATACGAAAATTTTCTTTTCACCAAATATGTACACATAAATAATGAGGTCACTTGCAGTGATATGAAGTATACACCATAACATTTCAGAACAATATGGTCCTATGCTATCCACTCTGTTGAGTATTCTATTCTATTTTTCACTGCCTATGTCATCCAATGCACATGCTTTGAAAAGAGAGTTTAATATATAACAAGCAGCATATAATAATCTATATTCAAAACAATATTACAGGTAGATAAATAAAACACGTTATATTCTTTCAGTTATACATTCCCATGAACATAAAAAACATTGATATAAACTTTCTGATGATTGAATTGTTTGCTTTTCAAAGATTTACAAACTCTTCATATTAAGAGGTACATGTATGTAAACTACCTCACTCAACTCTTTCTGCACTTTTTGTCAATTTTCTTTTGGATAAAAGAACCTCGAAACAGATTAATTAGGAAAGAAAAGATAAATTTCTTGTTAAATCATCTGATCGCCTACATGTAAATCACCATATTTGTGTCCATGTATCTCTAAGGCAATATTGACTTCAACCAAGAGTTTAACAAAAATTAAATGTTTTTATCTACGACTGCATGGAGCTGAGAAATACTATACTTCTTGAACAGATCTTGTTACATATTAAAGGCTTCACAAATATTAATAATGAAATAATTTATGAATATTTACATATCATTCTCCTGCTGTTGACTTTATTACAACAGAATAAACGGAGTCAATCGATCTCTTGAGAGAACAGAAAGTCATCTTTTCGACAAAATGTTGTAAAGCACAAGTTATTTAATGTCAGTGAAACTGCTCAATTTAGAATAATGAGTCTAAATTTTTATCCAATCTTGTTCATATATCCTAAGGATGATAGACTATACATGTACTTGTACAATGTTTTATCTCGTTTCATATTTTTCTTTACAGTGAAATATTCGAACATTATGTTACGTACATGAAATATTTGATGTATGAAACAAAATAAAATCCCTATGAAAAGAATTTTTTTTTTTTTTTACTAAACTTTATAAAATGGAATGGTATGAATAATAGAAACATAATAAAAATAACAGGCAATTATTATTTCTTTTCAGAAAATGGCACTTAACTTTTACATGTCTTTGACAGGAATATTAATATAAATAAAAACAAAGACTGTAATTGTAAATTGGAACGCAATGGAATCTCTGTATGAAGGAATCAGTGTTACGTACGATGAAATGACATGCATAACATCAATGAGGTTAAGAGCATCGATGAGCCCACTTACAGTTCAAACTTTAATGTCAGTTACACAAACATTGCTTGGGGAACATACGTACGATACAAAGTTCATCTGGCAGCATGGGACCTCAGGTTATACAGTTAAGTTGCAGAAAGTCATCCATTAATCAACCAATCAATCAATCAAACATATAATTTTTCTAGCAGTATACATGTACATGTAGATCACATATAATCATACCACTGACAGTACAAGTATGGCAAAATTACATCCAAATATCATTAATTGAACTACAGGTACTGCTTCTAAGAGTGAAGGGGCTATGTTATTTATGGACTTTGTAACCCTTTCGGTTCGAATCTATGTAGATGTTACATGTATTCAGAACATCTCAATTCACTTTCATTTGGTGTGGCACTACACACAGCATACATGTATATTCTATCTTACAATCATTTCCATACACGTATCACATTCAATGGCATATTTTTCAGGCACATCTTTAATTTGAATGAAAATAAAACAAAAATATTGCACTACAGAGAACCTGGACAAATCCATCATTGGAAAAGGTGAACTTCTTTCAAGGCTTTTGCAATATTCCACTCATAAACAAACCATCATGTCTGTCATGACACCCATGGCTCACTCACTCACACCGGGTACTAGGAAACATGTTTGTTTTTCTGGTGGATTACATCAATAAATCTCTTAATCATTGTAAGATCTATCTACCTCGCCAAATAATTAAATCATTTATATTCAGGACATTCGTGAATGAATAGGATGAATTCAATTCTGATAAACTGCATGACGTCATTTGGAATGCATAATATATTCCCCTTAAATAAGTAACATATCTAAAATCTTATGTCCAAGCTCAGTATACATATTCTTCCAAGTTTCAACACTGACATCTTTTATTGTATATACACACCTCCATGTGTATACATACAAAAGCTTTAGATAATTTGTAAAAGAAAAATTGTAAAGAAAAATGCCCAATACAAGTAAAAGGTAAATATCTTTGAGGAATTTGATATATTAGAGCAAAATAGACAAAAAGACAAAAAAGAGCAAGCATGCATTAACAATGAAAGCAATTAAAGGAAAATCTAAAATATTGGTAATCCTGAAATTCTGCTAGAATTAACAGAAATCAATTTTGGTTATATAAGGTTCCATAAGTTCATCATCATGGTCTGTTTTTGAACCTCCAATAATATATTTGCACATTGATGCAGCATCTCCTTCAATTTTGAAGCAAACAATTTTCTTTTAATAGAAATTAATAGGAATGAATATCAGTTGGTTTTGACATAAATAGCAACAAAATAACCGTCACCTAATTTCACCAAGCATATGCTTGTACTTGTGGTTCAGTTTCTCTTGTTAACACTTCAGCTCCTCTACATACATACATCTCTTGTTCTTAATTGCATGTATACCTTTGCCCCTGGCATAAAGAGGTAGATCTTTAGAACAGGTCTTCAGTCACAGAAGGAGGACTTTTACATCAGTCGTGTTGTTCAACTAGGAAAACCTAGCAACTGTCAAAAGGATCTCCTTTCTTTTTGTTATAATGGTCTTTTTGTGTGGTATTGCCTATACATCGTGTTGCAAGATACTGGCATCATAAAAGGAATGAAACCTGTGTTTAGCAACCATGTGTAAAGAAATATGACCTGTCTATAAAGACCATGTGTCTTGTCTTCTGTGAGAAGTTTTGCACAGGTTTGACTGTATCACACTCGAGATGGCAAACTCTTTATCTTCCCATCCTCCATCTTTCTTCCCATCTAGTTTGAGTTCCATCCTCACTGCATCATCACGCTATGAGGAGGAAATCTCTTTCCACCAGATGTTCTATCAGCTCGTCATCAGCCATGGCAGACTGGACACTGCTCTCCTTCTTGTCCCAGACGACAACCACCTCCTCCTCGTCATCAGCCCGGCCGTTACTCTGCCTGTTGTCATGGCTACCGGAGGGCGTGGTCGGTCCCTGAGATGATGTGGTCCGAGGTCTGGCAGTGGATGACTGCTGCATGCTGCATAGCGTGTTGAAGAAAGGCATGAGCTCTTCCACTGAGCGGATGTGATGCATGGCCAACAGAGGGCGCCCTTGGCTAGTCCTCTGCATGATGGTGTGGTTCAGACTCTGGTCCTGAAAAAAATTGAAAGAAAAAATATTTAATAACAATAATAGCTCACATTTCTAATGCACCTAATACTTTGTTTCTAGGCGCAGTACATATTATTACCCCTGTCATCGGATTCAGGCTTACCCACACACAATGTATGCACATTCTCCACTCCCTGGGGAGTATTACAGCCAGTCGGCATTTACAAGCGCGACTAGCTCATCAATGTTGGGACTACTACACAGTAAGTCCATAAAAGGTGAATACATGTACATGTACATACATTGTTTTGTTCCTCTCTGTAACAGGTTAAGGGATATCTTACATTTATGACATGAATATTTTGACACAAAAGTTTATCTCATAGATCATTATCTTGAATGAAGTTGGTTGAAATCTCTTTAAGAATATTCAATGGTGAGTCGATGTATCAATATAGTTAAGTCAAGCATGTATACTCTCATAACAGTTTTATTTATGTTCATATTTCCAGTTGAATTTGTAATATGTCCTTTTCCAATTGGTTTGAAATTTGACATTATCATCACTATTCACACCAACATTGTACATATCATCTCTAGATTAAATCAAATGTTCAGAGTTATAATATGATATTATCCTTACATATTATTTATGAAACAATCTTCATCTTGTACAGAATACATGCAAGTCTGAGCATTATACATTGAAGCACCACAATACATTGTTATGATATCAGAGTTGAGTGAATGATTTGTACCTGTTTCTTCTTGGCTCTAAGCAGCTTGGTGACCCTGGCAATATGAGGAACAAATCTGGTCTGAGAATCACCCTCATTGCTCTCACCAACAAATGCCCACTTGTAACTGCATGTAGAAAAAATTATAATAATACCATAACAAAAAATAACATACAAAATGGCATATGAAGGTAATTATCATCATGTTGTCCGAGGAAGGGCACCAAAATCAAATTTCTTGACTCTATACATGTAACTGTTCAAACCACCAAAAAACAGAGTCCAACCCGACAGAATTTGGAAAGAAAAATCTTTTTCTTGTGGTCTGTTTTAGGTCTGGTGTCTCAGTCTGGCTTGTTAATATGCTGGGGTATAGGTTTCGATTACTAAACAATTATTATCATTGTTTTCAAATTTGTATGATACACAGACTAATAAAATGTAGTTAAACTTAAATACCTTTTTCTCACAGTGTTTATCTGTTGTATGTCATTATTCCACAAAGTAGGGTTGCCACATATCAATGAACAAATTATTAAAGTACAATTATAGTAACTCGCTTCTGACGAGTAATAATTTCTTTGTATGTTTCTAAACATCCTCATACATGCCAACATTTGAAAATCAGAAATCTGTACAAATTATGCTATTTTAAAAAAAAAGAGGAACAATCCTAACTCTCCTATTCAATACTACAGACAAATTTGTACAGGAAGAGGAACACCTGCATTAAAATGATAATTATCTTCTCCCAAAAAGAGGAATGTTCCTCTTTAATCTGAACAGTTGGCATGTATGCATCCCTGATGAGTGTAGAACTTACACTTGGAACTGAGGAAGCGATTCCGAAGGCAAGCAGAGTGCGAGGTCAAGGAACTTTGAAGCAGCGAGGTAGAGATTAAGGAATGTCTTCAATGCGTTGCCTCCATTGGAACCCAGCTGGAAGAAACTGACCAGTGCTGACCGTTTGGAACCATCCTGGGCGCTCTTAGCTAACTGCTCCTCCATGTGAAGGAATACTTGAACCTAACAAGATCAAAACAGATTATAACACTTATGAGGAGGGTGACAAAAGCAATAATGAACATCAAAACAATATTCAATGTCTAGACTATGCCATGGACTAGAAATAGCCTGGCCCTGTGTTACAGCATTATTTTCTCTTACAAAATTTCTCCCATAAAGCTTATTAACGTTACAGACACACACACAAACAAAAATCTGTATCAATTTTATGGCTTCAATGCAAGGAGAGAATAGGACATCGGGTTTAGTACATCTTCAAATTGATTATCCACTATTAGAATTTGTATCTTCTTACCGGTATATATTTTGTCCTTTTTTCTTCTAATTTCTCACTTCTTTTGACATTTTTTTTATTGGTTATCCTGTTTTCAGTGACACATACTCTAGCAACTGATTCTGAATTTAGTTATTTGGTATTCTACAAATACATGTACCTTGAACATGGACATGGTAGCCCCTTGGGAACTGTAACTCATGGAAATGGTGATTTATAGATAATCATAATAACCAAATCTAATCTGAACAGACAAGTTTTCACTGCAATAATTAAAAAAACTCATAAACCTTGGGTTGTTTCACAAAACTTGCTATCAGTGACAAATGGCAGTTTTTGTTATAAGCTATGGAAATCCTTGCCTCTGATTGGTTATCAGCAGGTTTGTCATTGAAAAAAGGTTTGTGAAACACCCCCCTGATCTATCACAAGGATATTTACCATCTCAGTGATCATGGTGGGCCAGAGACCGGTCAGGTGATGAGGGGACACCCGAAGAAGGAGAACTCGGAAGAACATAAACACCTGCAGAATGACAAGAAACAAATAATGATGAAATATGTCTGAAATTATTAGTACATGCTATCTCTTCATTTAATAGCTAGATATACATTTATAAATGGCAGTTCTCTTTAGTCACAATTCTGTCTTTAAGGGCTGTGATGGCAGGGGAGCTATAGCTATTTTCGGGCGCGTATCGAACAAGACGAAAGAATCATATCGAGCAAGCCGAGGAGAGCCAACATGATTTCTTAAATCATATTACCGAAATAATGTTTTACTTCGGCGGGGGTAGGGGGGGGGGGGGGGGTAGGGGACGATGTTAAGCTCCTAATGCCGCTTGAATGCCCAGAAAATATGCTTCTATGTATATCGTATGATTCAAGATGAGAGCAAATTAAAGACATGCAAACCAATGAATCACACTTTTAAAGCAATTCAACAGACTTCTTGGTAAATGACTTAACAAATACATGTACCAACAATAATGTTGACCTGATTGAGAAAGATTAGAGCCCAAGCTGAGTTTTGTTTGTCATTTTGCTTGAACTCTGTGTAGCTTCCGAGTTTAATTTTGTTCACCTCTCTATAAGTATTGCATGATGATCATGATGACAATGTATTTATCATTGTTCACAATTCAGCTCCATTTTGACATGATGATAATGGAAGTTGTAATATTTGTTTTGACATTGACTGAATGGTTAAGATATTATATACATGTAAATAACAGGTGTGTCTTATACTTTAGTCACACAGACTAGGCAGATACCAAACTGACATATTTTTTTTGTTTAAAATATATGGATTTAAAACAAATATATAAATAACCCCCCTCTCCCCCCCAAAAAAAAAATTTGGCATGTTTTTTATATGGATATTAAAACCAAACCAAACGAAAGTGATAGATATCAGGAGTGATCTGTAGGGCATTTTAAATAACTTTACACAGCTTTACACAACAAATTTACAGTGTATGCGCTTGGAGAGCAAAATAATTATTCTGTTTTATTTACTAATGTAAAGTGCTTTGAGCATATTTATGTAAAGGCGCTATATACCAATGTAAGATCTAAGCCCGACGTTCAAAAGGTTTTGCAACTGAAACTAAAGTTAGTCTTCACCCACCCATTTTTGTTATAAAGAAATCTAGACAATGAGTAATTTCAAAAGTTAAATTAAGTGGTTTGTTTGTTAGTCTTCAAGTCTCTTACAGATCATCTTTCAATGATATTTATACAATTAAAATAAAAGTGATCACTTGTGACTGACTGGTTAAGCTGTGATTTGGCGCTTTAGCCTAGTTGCCGATTAACGATCAATATCTGACACTTGATACCCTCAAGAGGGTAATATCTGAAACCATGGCTAATTTGTATCTTTACATACATGTAATATGAAAAGAAAGTAAGACAATGGCCTTTTTTTATTCACGCCTCAAACAGATAATGTTCCAACATAATTATTCACATAAAATTAAAGTGATCACTTGTAGTTGGATTGTCAAGCTGTGATTGGGCGAGTTGTAATAGGTTGGTGGATACAGCTTCATGCTCTGAAAGTATCTTCCAAAAGATATATTGGTACTTTGTGGACGTCTTCATATATCATGTCGAGTCTAACTGCTCTATATACCTGCACATCTGAGTTCTCACTCTTCAAAAGCCAGTTAGTTCACAAACTTAACATTTAGAATATTGTCAAGAATGTTTTTGATCCTCACCATGAAACTATTTCTACTTCTTTTCATTCTGCAAGTTTTCTATCAGAAGTCTATTTCTACTGAAGTTTGTGGTAATTATATATACCAATCTTTCGAGGGAGTTATTGGCAAAAATGTCTCTGTTAAATTTAAGGTTACACAATCACTGCTTACAATGCAAAGTCTACGGTGGACGAAATATCGGAATATTATACTTGGGACGTACGACAGTTCCAGTCGTAATTTCACACGCTTTGTGGGTAATGAACGTTTTACATTGGCTAAAGGATTCGATGACAACACTTTTGAAATATCTATAGAACTCGCACAAGAAACAGATTCAGGGACTCACAGCATTTACATTTACAACGGGCTTCGTTCAGTATGTTTGGCTTTCCAACTAACTTTAATAGTGTATAATAGCAACCCTACTTGCAATGCTCTTCTTTACCATACAGCGGGTAAGGTAGAGTTGTCTTGTCGCTGGATCCAGTTTGATAAAGGAGACTACGCAGAGATTGTATCGAGAGAAAGTGTAGTATCCAAGGATGTGACTGGAATGAACTATTTGGGTTATGTCCACAGGAAAATAACTAACACCTTCAGCGTTTATGTGACAATGAAAAACCTACTGGCTGGAAATGAATTGCCCGTCAAATGTTTATTTGTTCATGGACAGTTGACTGTGAATAAGACGTGTGATTTTCCATCAATGATGCAACACACGATTCGGAACGACCAAACTGAGCAGTTCATGATTGAGCGTTGCGTTCCAAGTAAGCATATTTCCCCTACGTGGTGGTACAGTGTTGATGAAACATTGATCCCTCTCAAATCTACAACAAATTATACTTTGTCTAACATTCATAATATCGTTTTCTTTTATGGAGAACAGGATGATCACTCAAATATGATCCTACATAGCATGGACAAATTACATTTATTGGACTACCGGTTCAGTAATATTTCGTTCATTGTTGAATCTAGCAACAACACACAACGGCAAGCACATTCAACAGAAAATCTGCAATGCAAAACCCTCACTGTGACCGTCAACGTAACAGCTCTTACAATGATTTCTACTTCAAATTTCACAAGGCCTAGTGCTCCATTAGCCGACATGGCAACTACTGAAAGTACATTTCCAAATACATATATTGCCGAAGGTCATACAACACGTTGGATCTTCGTGACTGCGGGAGTAGCATCAACGCTTGGATTCATAATTTGCATTTGTTTTACAAAACTGTATGGCATGTTCCGAGAAAAATATAAGACGATGGGTCTTCAAAGGAGTTCAGCGACTGCAGTAGTTGAAGATAACGCAGAATCTGTGGGGATGGTCACCCAGTCACCTCGACCTGATGAACGTTCTCTTCCACATGGGACTGTCTCAAATCAGCCATTAGAAGATATGTCAATTAATGATCCACGGTTTGATTCCCTGCATTCTGGTCGGCACATTACATCAAGCCTTCCTGCCTCTCAGTCATTGGTAAAGAAAGAGGACAATTCTACTTCACATCTCACAAACAACTGCAGTGAAGCTAACTTTGCCTCTTCAAGACTTCTTGGTAATTCTAGACGCATCTACGAAAACTCGGGAGGAAATACTCCCAATGATGGAGAGATCCGAAAGACACACACTCCGAGTACAGTCATTGGGAGTGGGTCATCTCTGGAAATCACTTATTGTTCTGTGGATGATATTGATGGCTCCCCCTTGAAAACTGAGATGGAAGATCTGCCGTTGTCATCGACTCCCATGAAACGGACCCTCCGATTCAGTGGCCACAAGGATTGCAAGAGTCCATTCAGTATCAGTGAAGGGACTCTACCACCTGTTACACCAACTAATGCGCAGAAAGACGTATCGGTCAAACCGATGGTAGACGTGGAGGGCCTTTACGCCAATCTTGACATGAGCCGAAAGACCAAGAAGATCTATCCCTCTGCAGCATCCAGAGGTGCTACCAAGCAGCATGATCAAGGAGACAGAGCTCCAAAGAATGACTGGGGGAATCTGAAGATAGCAATAAATCAGACAAATCGTGTTGCAGAAAATGATGTAGACCCTGATGTTCTTGTCGATGTTCCTATCTATGGTAACAGTGCGAGCATTCTTAATCTTGAATATAAATCTGCTGAAGAATACTCTTTGTATGAGAATTTTTCTGGAGAACAGTATAATTGAAGACAGTGCAGAACTACATGCAGCCATGGATACCTTAAACAGATTCATAATGGATACACAATGCACTGTATATTTTATAATTATAACAAGATTAGTAATATGAAGCAAAAAAAAGGGTAACTATAAATAATGTCTTCATTTAAATGCACACATTATAGTCTCCAGCATCAATGGAGTTTGAAGTTGATGATGTATTTAAAACCTATGAGATACATGTATAAAGACATTGGTGTGTGTGTGTGTATTGGGTTTTTACAGACGTGTATCAATCAGATATGATTATTTACGTCTGGGACCGACCTTTAAACGTCACCATCCGAAAGACGTGACTCAGTTTCGAACCTACGTCCTCGGCTGAATCAGTTTGTAACTTCCACTTTTTTTTAGCTGGATTACAGGCGCACGCCACAACGCCTAGTTGGATATATTACATTCCAATACAAGGTCTTATGATGTATAGCCGGTAACGGTTATCTGCTTTATGCAATTGTTCCAACATTTAAAGTTCTACACAAGCAAACACATTTATCATGTGATTTTCATGTAGGAATCTTGGATAATATTATTCTATCTCACAGCGTTAATCGGATTGCAAGTTCCTAATTATTTCACAGATTTGCGTAACGTTAATCGCATCGTGGGTTATCGGCTAAAAAGAGTGTATATGCAGGTAAGTTCAACGCTATAATAAACTCTTAAATCATTGAATATAAAGAAGCAAATGCGGGTCTTGTTGAAAAGATAATTCCCAGTAGAGACCATTTTTAGCTAAAAGTCTATCGGATGTCATGATAAATATTTTCCTTCTGTCATTGAGAAGACGATTTATTTTTCCTCACGAGCTAAATTTCTTTACATAAGATGAGAACACTCAAGAAATTATTTATTATTGCTCGTCAAATTAATCATTATAACTTCTAGATTCATGCCTTATGTCTTCATTCATTTCAAGAAATGGTGTGGGAAGGATGCTAAAGTTTGTCTTCATCAATGTTCAAAACTAAAGAAAACCAGCAAATGACCTTTATGTAGATTCATAAACTCCGCCCATCACAAACCACTTCTTTTATTTTAAATTATTGTTGGTCTAAGTTAGTTTCCAAACGAAAGATGGGCAGGTAATGTAATCATCATAATTGCCTGAGAGAATGTAAGGTGATATATGAATATGAAACGACTCAGATAAACCACAAAGGTTGATTGCATACATTGCTCTAAAAAAAACATATTTAACAAAGAGATCATACCGAGCAAGTGTGCTATATCAAATGACAAGGGGACAAGAATGGAATATGTACATTTTCTACAATACAATCACTTTTGATTAGAAAAGACCACAATTTAGGTGCTGTTTCTGACGTTTGCAAGTTAAAATACTCAAAAGTCGCATCATGTTGGTAAGGTACTGATGGTAATCTGGTCCCATTCGGTATGATCTCTTACAGTCTCCAGCTGTACAGGTATTTTGAGGGCCTTTTTTGATCCGAACATAAAGTTGAAATGATATCATCTTTTCTCGATTTTTTTCCACGTAACTTTATTAATTTTTTAATAGATGAGATGAATGAATATACCTAAATAACACTTCAAAGAACTTCAGCACATAATAGCTAATAATAAGCTGGAAAACTTTGTCAAATTATTAGGGATACATCTCGGCTTCTGTAGAAGCCCGTTGTCACAGACTTAACAACTCGCTCGGCTTCTGTAGAAGCCCGTTGTCTCCAAAGTGTTAATATTCCCACAGGGTAAAAGGAGTCATTGAACAATACACATGCAAGCTGGAATATGCATAGATAGGAACAAACAAATGAAGACTGTTATGATGGAGAATGTCTCAACAGAAGGAATACCATGCTTGAACGTGTGTTTTAGAAGAAAAGAGTTAACAAGAGGTTGAAGAAATGTAAGGAATGAAGTATTTTAATAAATAGTAAATTTTAGTAAACATAAATGAATTATTTTAGGATGACAATATGGGGAAGGAAATGAAGAGAACAAATTTATGAAAAAAGAGAGAAAGGAGAAGGCGGGAAAGGGAAATATGATCGAGCTGATAAAGAAGATCAAGAAGAAAACAGGTATCAAAATATAACTTAAAATTCAATTACAGAAGAGACAAAAAAGGGAATCTGACCTGTTCATGAACGACAGGGCTCTGACTAAGTCTCAGACTCTCAGCCAGTCTCTCCTGTATATCTGGTAAGGAGCGTACATACTGATCTCTCTCACTGCAGAAGACTACGAAGCTAAGCCTCTTCAGGAGCTGAGCTCTCTGCTCCATCTCCTGCTCCTTGCTTGCAAAGATACTCAGGGATGTATTCTGTAAGGCTGCTACTCGAGCTGTTAAGCAATAGGGAAATGTACAATGCATCATATTAACTAGAGTCTTACATTATCATATCCATTAGTTGTGGGGTTGTTACAATCCATAGTCCTTTGGAAGTGAATGGAGATTTTGATCATAAACGATATGTGCTATGCACAAACAGAACATTATTATTATTTGATATCATTACAATGAATTTTGTAAGTTTATTCTTTAACCTTTTGCTCCCCTCGTAGTAAAGTGTTGTTTGTTCTCTTGTACTTATAAATGAGTAATTCCTTGTTCTTCATGAAGTCCTGTCTATGTATTATTATGAAATATTTACTTATATTAACATATTCATAAATTTGTGAAAGTAAAAGTAATTGTCATATCTTTTCAGTTGAGGATGAGAAAAAACAAATTCAGTTTTATGAATTGTACAGCTAAAGTAAAATAAACATGTAAAATTAACTGAAACAATAGAATGAAACATTTATTTTTCATATTCCAACGTACAACACAATAAATAGATATGTAATGACTACAACACATTAGAGATATGTGTAGTGAATGTTGGAGGGGGTAAAAGGAGAGATGGAATTAAGATGGACAATTACTACTTACTCATGAGATCTTTGAAAGTTGTTCTGTCATGCGTCATGAGATTATCAATGATACATCTCCACCTGGAATATAAAGTAAAAGACATGGAAGAACATTTTAAAGATGTTTGCCGACACCATAATTCTCACATATCTAGGATCTTTAATGTTCAAAGATGCGTTCTCTACTACTATCATGGCCATTATCATCATTGTCCTCTTCTTCAAAATCAGTCCTTAAATGATGGAAGAACAAATTAAAGTATTAAGAGTATCATAACCAACCATCAATCACTTTAACCCCAAAATGCAATAAAACGATTGCCATCACCATTGCCGTTCCCACCAATGTCATAATGACCACTACCAACATCAGGACCATTACAATAACAATACAAAGATAATAAATGATCAGAAACAATATCATGATTACCACCACTCAATCCTAAATTTTAATCTTTACAGAACAATAAGCGATCCACTGGGCCCCGTCTTAGAAAGAGTTAAAATTGATCCAAATCAATCGCAAGCCCTCCAATCAATCGCAAGTTTGCAGTGTTCTATTTCTTATGTAAATAGTTGCGATTAATATCAATCGTGAATAAGCTGCGATTGATATCAACTCTTTGTAAGATGGGGCCAAGAAGTGAAATTTAATCTGAGTGTTGAATAACATTTCAAAAGTGTATCTCACCCTCCTATACAAGATGTGTCCATCTGAAAGAATGAAGCATCTACCAGCAGATCAAAGGCATCCTTCTTCCAAGCTTTCCTGGTATACTGGTAGTCACTCAGACTTGAGACGAGTGATGTGCAGGCACGGAAACTGGGCATGTTTAGGGCACTATCCAATAGAATAAGAAAGTGGGACGTGTACCTTAGTTTGAAACTCGATCATTTAGCAACTGGCAAGGGATAACAGTACTTGTTAATGATTAATGTAAAGGAGATGACTTCAATTTCATTCAACACAATTTTCATGTACCTATGTCTCGGTATTTACCAGTTTACAGTTGAAATGGATATGCAATATATATATGTACAATGTGTTATTTACTGCACAAGATAACTCAGAAAAAGTAAATGGAATGAAAATTACTTTTCATACTTTGTTATATTTCAACATCCAAACATGACAATCATTTACATGTAGCTTGAAGTTGACACCATCCACTACCATTTTCCCCCCAACAATTCAAAATAGTTTTTTAAACAATTCATCTGCAGAAGAGTAATTTTAGATGGTAGACGTATAGCTTCTATTGCAGTGCTTGGTAGATGAACTTACCTATGGTTCTTGAGGTACGGTGTGACATTGTGCATAATGGATGTAAGGAGAGGTACCACTTTGTCTTTCTCATCGCTGCCATACACCATGTCCAACAGAGGAGCCATCAACTGGTAAAAGAAAACAATATTGACTAGCCATAAATGTAAAATTTTGGTTGGTGCAAATTACAGGAATTAATATTTTATCTTTTTCTCCAGAGTTTTTCATGTATCCTTTTGTTGTATATTATAAACACATATTATCCAAGTGTATAAACGCTTTGTTTCTGCAACTACTACATGTTATAAAGAAAAAGAAAAAGGTTATTCTTTCTATTGTTGAAAATCAATGTAACTTGTAACTGACAAATACTGGTCTATACAATTGAATGATACAAAGAAAGGACAATGAGGCGATTGAATGATTATCTAGTTTATATGTTTCATATCTCACAAGATAATCACATTCTAGAAAAACAAGATGACATAGGAGAGAAAAGTATGAAGAACAAAATGGAGAAAGGAAAACAAAATCATAGTCACAGCTCATCTATTTCCCCTTTCCAATAAACACTTTCCTGATGTCAAATGTATAGATGTCTCTTCTTAGAGCCTAGTGACATTAAATATATTATTATAATATCACAAAGCATAGCCAAAGCATACAAATTCAGCAGATTCATTTTTATACCGACAATGACTGGAGGAAAGTGCTGTACAACATTTACAGGGTGATATCATTACGTACATTTCAAAGCCATTGGTCTTTGAACAATGTAAGCCACGCATTCATCCTCGCTTACCCAGTCCCTCTGATAGGCTTAAAATAGTGAGTCCCCTGGAGTTTTCTTTCAAGCACATACATGTTTGTTCACATGCTTTCTTACCATCTAGATAACATATGAAATCATTTTCATGAACTTACCTCTGCAAGCAGAGTGAGTGCTTGCACGCTGTATTGTGAATAGGAATGCTGTGCAGGCGGGGTGCTGAGGGGAGGGGAGGTCAATGCACTATTGCCATTATTGACAGCGCCCTCTGTGGGTGACTCTGGGCCAGCTGCTGAATCTGAGACTGAAAAAAGAAAGGAGACAGAGTAATGTTTAAACCCGATGATCTGATAGATTAGCTGGTTTATAGTGGATTGTACAAGACACGTTCCAGCAACAATTGATTCCTAGTCAACTTTTAACAGTAACCTAACAGTATACATGGACCCAACACTTATACCTTACCCAAACCATAACCCCAAACCTACCTTCAATCCTATTCACATCCTTATCGCTAACTATGTTACTCTGATGAATTAAAGCCCTGAGTCTTGTTATTGAAGCAAATATCAGACCAATGATCAGTGATGTTAATAATCATAATGACTGTGACCAAGGATGACTGCAGATCTTGCAGGAAAGCCTAATAGGTTTTACTTTCTCCAATGTTCTAATTTGTGTGAGCATACCAAACACATAAAAGTGTTCGGTCGACAAAGGAAAACTATGTTAACCTGGCTTCAAATTTCTTCTGTCAACATAATTATTGAGAAAAGGTCTGTTGACGACAGCACCAACACATTTGAGAAAGAAATTTGAGTCCCCTTACCATCAGCATCAGATTCTGAGATTTGAGAAGCATTGATTTTGACAGAGACGTTTCTCCTGAGCCATGTGGTCTGTTCCAGTGAGGATCCAGCAATGGTGTTTGCTGCCTCCATCAGACGCTGGCTGATCTCCTGTAGGTCTCTCTGATCCTTACGCTCATCAAACGGAAGCAGTTTATGGACAATCACATTCAGGATCCTGCACAGAAGATATGCATTGTAAACATTCATCAGATCCAGTTTTAACCAAATCTAAATCTAATCATTTCAGTAATCAACTGCATCCATTATTTTGTGGGAAATACACACTTCACCAACACGCACACACATAAAGAAGAAAAATAAGATACTTGAAAGATTTAATGAATGATTGTTGTGAGAGCAGAAAGAGAGATCAAAGAAACAAGACCTGTTGGAATCCAGGATTGGTATTTCAAGTGACCAGAGGACACATTGGAGACTCCCAAATCAATCAAGTACCAGCTGGACATTCTCAAAGACAATGTGTCAACTAAGGCTGTGCATAACCGTGTAATGAGGGACTTGAGTACACTCCCAGGCTTACAGGCGAATACTCAAATATTCGGACGCCATGTGTTTTTTTTTAATTTTTGATATTTTTGTTGTTGATTTTTTTGATTGTTTTTTGCCACCACCATACTACTGCAGAAGTATCCCAAGTCTGTCCCTGAAAACTCAAGCGATTTTACTTCGAGTAGCAGTTGAAGGCACTGAACTTATAATAATAATAATAGTAAACATGCTGTTTTATAAACCAAAGATGACAGAATAATCCATTTTCCTCTGAGTCCAAAAATAAATCGGGACATTTGGTCCCAGTTTCTGAGTGGTGAGTTGACAGTAATTGAGCTGGGAAACATTTTTACCCGCTGTACCATGCCGGCGCTGCCTCCTGGGCACGGGTGAGCGTCGGCCTGGACAGTGCCAGGCGCTGGCAACAAAACAAAAAACAAAAAACAAAATGGCGGCCGAGTATCGTACTCGAGTAGTTGTTAACAGTGCAAGTACTCAAGTATTTGACTGCTTGTCGCTAGCTTAGTGTCCAACTACCACCTTATACTCACATGGAAATGACAGTAGACAGAGCTTTACAGGCCCAGTATAATACTTACCCTAGTAATAGAAACTGAGCTGGAGCAGACAGGTTGAGTTGAAGACCATCCTTGAGTAGTCCTAAGATGGAAGGCCAGGAGTCCCTGAGGGGCGCAACAGCCATCTTCTGGACATAGGCATAGAGGAACTGAAGCATGCTCACCTCAAGTCCAGGTTGGTTCTATAAAACACATTGAGAACATAATACCATAAAAAGGAAATCCTGCTAAAGCCTGTTCACTACTTGCAGATGTTTTTGAAAACAACTCTTTGTTACAGAAGCTTCTTTGAAATTTTCAATATAAAAATGAGATCTTCTGTATTTTGCCCCTTTTTTTAAAATTTCCCATGCCTATTTCACATAAGTATCAGTTTAAAGAGCTCAGTCTCACTCTCACATCATGTACATGTAAACAATTTTTGCCGCTTGTTCAACAACAGCATGTTTTGGAGAAATTGTATGAATTTTCAAATACTAACTAAATTTAGTACAATAGCACAATAGGTTAAAACAGCAAGGGAAAGATGTTTCTACATGGAAGTAAACTTTCAAGCAAAGGCTAAGACAAAAGACAAAAGCTGATACAGGCCATAAAAACAAAAACAACAACAACAGTTTCTTCAGCATTCTACAACATCAAAGCAGTCTAATTTTGTTTAAATTCATATGCACACAAATTTAATTATATACTCTATCGGAAGAGCTTCTAACAAAATAAACAGAAAGTGACAAAGCCTAAGGATTCTAATTTGCTTCCTTCCCACAAAGGAATAGGTGATAGTCTGTTAAGCTTCCTGGAGTCGTTACCATACCTTGTCTCTGATTGTGAATGGTGGTGCCTTGAGAACCAGCTTGATGGTCTGGACCAGGGTGTCTGTCGGTAGAGCTTTGATGGCACTCACAAGCTGGACCAGGACTAGCTGTTCTTCAGAAGGCTGGGCTAGGACCTGAGAGGAGAGGAAAGAAATCATGGAAACTTCATTTATCAGATAACAGGTGGAATATCTACAGGTGTACAGAATATTTACTACTTGTTTAGTATCATATTCATCTTTCTGTATATGTTTTATCATCTTTCTTTTTTTCCCAATATTCTGTCAAGCTAATTTACAGAATTTACATTTTAAGATAATTCATTATTGAAGGAAAAAATATTATCTGAAGATCATAATGGTTTGGGCAACCAATGGCATGAATGGCCTGCCATAGTTAAGTCCAACTTAAAGTTGATCTTAGTCTTTTTGAAACACCCCCCTGACTTAAAGAAAGTGTACTCACCTTTCCCTTGGGTGGTTTGTGCCTGCGTCTGCTATCACTCCACACCACTCCTACAGCAGCTAGGAGGTTGGTAGAATGGTGCAGTGCAATAGGGCTTAACAGCTCCATGATCTGTTGCCTCACAGCCTGCAAAAGAAAAATGCACTCTCATGTTATAAAGAATAATGAAGTAAATTCATCAAGGCTTTAGTTATCTAGCACTTACGATATATCATTTGAAATGAAATAAATTCAAAAGCACAATTCACATTCCTTGCACAATCTTTAGGATTGTAATATTTTGAGATGAATAACACTTTAGGTATCTTACAAGACAAACATTAAAGCAGATGTTTTGGTTTCATATAAAAAAATGTTTTAAAGAGTACTGCTGGATGCATTTCACCTAATGAATTATCCAGAAGAGTCTTTCTTACAATTACAACAGACAGAAAGGTAAGGGGTGCTCTATTCTCAGATAAGGAGGAGAAAATACAAATAACATCTTCTTACTACACGATGAATGATGTTAACAAGCCATTACCTGCAGTTCATCATGAAAAGGATCTGGGAGTAATATTCGATGATAAAATGTCCTTTTCTAATCACATTGACACTGCTTGCAATGCTGCAAACCGGAAACTGGGTATCATCAAGCGTACTTTTTCAACAATGGACAACAAGGGACTCACACAGTTATATAAGTAAATTGTGAGACCAGCACTAGAATACTGCTCTCCCGTGTGGCACCCTTATATGAAGAAACATATTCTCAAAGTGGAAAAAGTTCAACGCCGTGCAACTAAACTCCTTCAACCTCTCAGAAGTCTTCAGTACAAGTTAAGGCTAGAGCAACTAAAATTGCCTTCATTATCATACAGACGTCATAGAAGTGACATGCTACAGGTCTATAAGATAATGCATGGAATCGACGACCTCCAGTCAACTAATTTCTTTCATCGTACCCCTGTCACAGTAACAAGAGGTCACCAGTTTAAACTACAAAAGAAACATGTAAAATCTAAATTGAGGCAGAGCTCTTTTTCACAGAGAGTAGTAAATGAATGGAATGGTCTCCCATCATATGTAGCAGAAAGTCCATCACTCAATTCTTTCAAATCAAATCTTGACAAGTACTGGTCACTGAAGAAGGACAAGTTTAATCCTGATGAACTATTCAACTGTCCATGTTCATCCGTAACTGCACAACGCCAAATTCAAGAGTAACCCACTAGCAGACACCGAGGGGCAAATAAGTTTTGTATAACTTTATGCCTACTTCCAAGGTATGATATCCAAGGTATGATATAATAATTGTGAAATTCATATCTACTGTACATTTCCAAAGGAACTACAAATTAACAGGATTAGTTTCCCAAGAACATATTGCAGTGAATATTCTGCTGCCTCCCCCCCCCCCCTTCCAACACAGCCCTTTGGGTTTGAAACACATCCATCTAACATTATGTTTCATGTTCATTTCATTTCATTTATTGACCATTAAAAATAACAAAATATGCAAAATCATCAATACAATAGAAGAATCATATCAAAGAACAACAACATAAGAAGTAGTAATGGCCAGGGCCCCTAAGAAGCAAGACTGCTTTTAATCGGGACCCTACATACAAGTACATTATAATAGAAATATAAATTTGTATACATCCATGTACAGTACCATGGTCTTCAATTCAATGCTCAATCTTACCTTTGGTGTTCCCATGCTGAAGCTAGGATACTCCTGCGTCTTCTCCAGGTCTTCCCTGAGGAGCTCAGAGCTCTGCACAGCGCTCCACAGACGTGCTATACTGGCCATGATCCTGGGTAGCATACCGAGGAGCCCCTTCCTGGCCTCCGTCTTGGGGCTGCTCATCGGGCCATCAGGTGTGGCAGCACCCTGCAGGGATACATCCAAAACAAACAGCAGACAATTACAGAAATACCCTTAAATGCAATACCTTGGACATAAACCTTGGAAGTAGGCATTTAAAGTTAAAAATTTATTTGCCTCTTGTTGACATCAGGATGAAGAATCCATACTGGAAAAACATGTTTATTGGTGCTGTACAGCAGTTCACGAACATGGACAAACAAAGGACTCTTCTGGATCAAACTATCTTTTCTTGACGACCAAAATTTCGACAAATTGAATTTAATGCATAACAAGTCCTAGAATGTTTTTGTCCCAAATTTTACAAACGAGTCTATTTTGTTAATGCTGTTGGTTAGGTCTATGTCTCCAGTTACAAATCAACAGAATATGTTGTAGCTGAGATTAAATTTAATTTGATGACCAATTCTCTGTCTAAACATCAACCCCCAGTCTGGCCTGAATAGAATCAAATCAAAATCTCAAGCCCCATGGTTGCTTACCCCCAGGCAATCACTTCTTTTCTGGGAACGTTAAAACATGTAACTTGATTGTGAATCTGTAGCTCTTGAGTAAAAATTTCAGATTACAGACAGGACTGGGTGGTCGGAGTTGACTCATTCTCGGGACTGGATGCGCTGTGTCTGACGGTCATCGACGACAGACTCGATGTCGACTCCAGCAGGACTAAGTAAATCAAATTTCTTGAAAGCTTCACACATTATTTCATTTTTTAAAGCACATCCTAATCACATGTCAATGAGCAGAGTCTGATCTCAAAGAATCCACAAAATGGAATGGCCAATTTGAAGATCCCCCAACGACTACTGACCTTTGTTTTATCTCTGGTCAGAGCACCGATCAAGCTGCTGAAGAGCTGAGTGGTCGGAGTCGACTCATTCTCGGGACTGGATGCGCTGTGTCTGACGGTCATCGACGACAGGCTCGACGTCGACTCCAGCAAGCAGAAGTGACAGATTTGGGTGAGGCCTTCAAGCATGGTGATTACATGATCAGGGGGAAGGTCTTCCTTGTCACTGATGAAATAAGAAAGTTCTTACTTTATTTAGTGATCATAACAAAATGTGTAAAATATCTGTAAAGCGCTTTATAGACACATCATTGTATCAATGTATTGGGCGCTATATAAAAGCGGAATATCATTATTACTAATATTGTGGTGGTGGTTATTTTAAGCTGGCTGCTAAGAAAGCATAAATGCTAGTACTAACAGAGTACAAGATGGAGGCTTCAAAATGTCTATACATTTAAAATACTGACACTTTTATTTACAAATGACCGAGCCAGAGATTCAACAAGTATGATGTAGTAAGGGTGAATATTGACAAATTATCATAAAAAGCATATTGAAATATTACTGATTATAACAGTATTACATAATTGTATGATCTTAAATAAATATATCAATGGTACGATAAAGATGTTTCACAATGTACATGCCATAATGATTAGTTTTCTTCTACTCAAAATTATCTTTCTTCATTTCAACAGGGAAGCAAGAAGATTCTTGGTTTTACATAGAATACATTTACACTATATTCGTGCATTTCTACTTTTAAAGGAGAATTCCTAACAATCAAGGCCACCTGGCATAATTACAAATGCCTGCAGAACTAGCATATCTCAATGGTCTGCTAATAAAGAACAATTTAACATTATACAGTCTAACCTGTCTACAGCGACCGCCCAAGGGAAGCACAAAAAGTGGTCTTTGTAGACAGGTTCCTTTAGTACATGTTTCAATGAGAAACCATTTTCAAGGGGAACAAAAAATGTGCTTGTTGTAGACAGGTGGTCTTTGTAGACAAGTGGTCACTAAAGCAGGTTTGACTGTATATTAAGCATGATAACCTGAATTTACCTTTTACTACTCTCCTGTAGCTTGTAGACGCCAGCCAGGGATTCCAGATTGCGGCACAGTTGACTGGTAAGGGGGATGACCAGCTTAGGCAGACCCCTCTCCAAGTAGGGCAGTGATTCTGTCATGAGGGCTATCCAGTGACGATGCATCTTGGCATTGTGGTGCTGCTTGAGGGCGGTCTGTACCGCTGTCAGGAGTAGACCCTGACACGACAACCGCTCTGACTTGAGGAAACCCATGGCAGAGTTCGGCGACTGGAACTTGAGATGGCGGAACTCCCATTCCCCGTCGTCCGCTGCGGCTGATTCTAGAGACGAATCCCTGAGGGGAAAGAGGTGGTCTTCCAGGACGATGATCGTCAGGACCAGTTTCAGGAGTTGGATTTGGAAAGTTTGAGCAACCTCTGTGAGAAGCTCTGGATGGGCATCCTGTATGATGGTTTTGTCCTTGTCCGCCAGTGATGACTTGGACTTCCTGGCACCATACACTGACGCCAGTAAACAATACACAACAGCCTTTTGGACCTTGCACCTGACTAGGAGATCGCTGATAAAGGTGGCTAGTCCTCGACCACCATTCTTGACAACATCCACTAGTTCAAACAAAACATGCTGGAGGACTTCCATGCTTGCTGTCTGGACATCCCGATTCCCAAGGGCATCTCTCTCTCTGGCACGGCCGTCCTGAGGGTAGTAGCTGCGCATGAAGTAGACACAAGTGAGGATGAGAACCTCCAGATAGGTGGTGCTCCTGAAACTGAGAAGTGCTTCTTGCTCAAGCTGGGTGTAGAAGTCCCATCCCGTGATGCAACGCTTATGACGGGCAAGCAGCTGCTGAAGCTTGATCAGCTGGGGAGTGTTCGTGCTACTGATATTTGTGGAGGACATTGCACAGACAAACTGTCGTGGGCACGTGTGAAGGATAGATTTTAGCCTCGCAAGAACATGCAAGATTTGTTCCTCATCATAGACTTGAACATAAAGTAGGATATGCTGCTGAAGTGGGTGCAAGGAAGTCAGTTTTGATTCCGGCAAAAGACGGATGCGTTTCACATCAAACGCCTGACAGTATTCTTGAGGATATCTCCATGTGATTTCAGAGTCGCTTGTTGGTTCTGTTTCCATGCCTGACATGACTCCTTCTAGATCGTCCAACATGAACTCTTCTGATCCTTTGACAGGGGAAGTAGGTGCAGCTGTACCTCCTTTGGCTCTAATATAACCCTTAGTACTATGGTGTGTACTAGCAGGTGGTGATGACGATGGGGCGCTCTTATAACAGACATGGAGTCCGATTCGTCAATCTCCTTCTCCTCAACGTTTGCAATAACCTTATCCACCAATGCATAGAGGATACTTCTGACTGCATCCTCTATGGATTCATCTACCTCTTCGTTGTACACATAGGATGGTTCATCATAGCCATCACTCACAGACAGATCATCGGTGCTCCCCTCTCCGCTTCCTCTGACAGGGGTAGCAGTGTCTGAACCTGAGTCTGTCTTTCTGTCTGAAGCCATCTTCCCTTTAGTACTGATGCTTAGCTTGGATTTATCCCCAACACTTGTCCCACTGGATTTCCTCCTCTCTGATGATCCTTCGGGGTTCTTGGAGGTTGGCGCGCTGGCATCGCTATCAGAATCGCTGAACGACGCCGCGTGCGCACCCATCATCATCGGATTGATCGTCACACTGAGAGGCTTGTGATGGAAATCTGGCGGCTGGCTGAAACGTAATCCCAGGTTACTCCGCGTCACAAAGTTCATCTTCTCGTCGACACTCGTGCAGGCAAAGACCGGGTCCTGCTTTCCTGCATTCATCACAAACTTCTGCTCCCCATCTTTCAGGACGTAGAACCTGACGTCCCCGTCGACATTGCTGATACTGTAGATGCGATTCTCGATACCATCCAGGTGCTGCTCTCGCTCCCGGAGCTCCTCCTCCATCTGTTTCCTCCGCATGGCGTCAGCTCCAAGGAATTGGACCGACGCCCTAGCTGTTGCGGGATGAAGCAGGACCAGTAGGATGGGTTCTAAGAGCCTCGCTATGTCACCACGGTTGATAGCATCTAATAGCCAGCTCTGTGTGGTGGAGCGTATCATGCTGCTAGGGTGCTCCATACTGTCTAGGACCACTAATAGAGATCTGTAAAAACAACAGCATCAACATCTCTTGATATACATCTTACCAATCTGACCCATGATGAAGTAAAGGAAACATATTTGATTGGAAGCCTACTCCAGTGGATGGATTGTGCCTAAGTGACATTGTAAGTTGTTTTTCAAAATCAGGGACTGACCATATCAAGATAAATTATCTCAACATAGTACTATAATGGGATTTTACTCTTTATTCCATGAGGAAATCACAGTTTAATATGTACATTTAAAATTATCCCATAACACCAGACAATTATATGAGCGCTATACAAGAACCCAATAATATTATTAATATTATTATTATTATTATTATATACAATGGATCTTACTCTATGTTTGTGTTCTTTAGTATTCTGTAACCCATAATAATTTCTACTGGTTATAAATTAAGATACACAAAAAACTGGCCTTGAGTAAATTTATGAATGACATTTTACCATATTCAATACCCTAATTCATCAACAGTAACAATCAAATAAATGTTTGTTTAAACATATTTGTGGCTTACACCCAGTAAATAAGATCGATTGATCGATGTTATTTACTGGATGTAAGCCACAAATATGTTTACCGGTAAATAATTGACATTTCTGCCAGGAAGCATTACATTTATAAAAACAAATAATTGTTTTGTTTATTATTTCACAAAGAGTAGAGACAAGTTTCTCACCTGTCAAATGTTCTGATCTTGGAAGCTGGGCTACTTGATCTTATCTGGCTACGTATCAGGTGCCATAGCAGAGCAAACTTGGTGTGAGCTTCCAATGATCCAGTCTGAACAAAATCAAGTGATAAAGGATGTTAATTAACAGTATACCATAAATCAAAGGCTCTACTCGATTGCTAAGAATCCATCTTTATCTTAATTTAAAAAGGGACTGGAGAATGATCTGCAACAAAATTTGTGAGGTTAATATATAAATACCAAACAAAGGAATTAAGAGCCAATACAAAATAGTAATAACAAAAAGAAGTTGATTTTGAAGCAATAACTGTACAATCACAATAACATTTAATGTTTTTACGCAATCTTCATAAATATCATTATTTTTAAATGAGAACTCTGAAAATGCATGTAGGTTATTCTCAATAAAAGCAGTGGAAAAATGTCAAAACATCTTTTGAGGAACATCGCGACACCCGAAAGTGTAATACATTAATGATATGATGAAGTTTGTTGTGATAAATTTGGGAAATCCATTCATCAATCTATGATGTCTTTAATAGCAAAACTATCCAGTGGACTTTAATGTCGCCATCTGGAAGATGTGACTCAGGATCCAACACAAAAAGACCCTAGAGTCACCCACCAAACCAGATCAAACCAGCCTCTGCATTCATCTTAGTATTCACTATACAGTCAGACCTGTCTATAAAGTATTCACTATACAGTCAGACCTGCCTATAACGACCACCCAAGGGAAACAGAAAAAGTGGCCACTGTAAACAGGTTGCCTTTCTAGACAGGTTCTACAATACATTCTCTCTCATGGGATACAAAATGCATGGCCACTATAAACAGGTGGTCTTTATAGAGAGGTGGTTGCTAATACAGGTTTGACTGTAGTTCTTATCTTACCGTTCTGCTCTGGACCAGTGAGTTTCCGATGATGTCTTCACAGATGTACGCATCAGGTGTAGCATTATGAAGCTGATGAAGCAGATCTGCACTACGGGCGTGGTAGTCTGGTGTCTGGGGGCTCAGGTGGGACCAAAGACCTACTGCAACTCTCTGTATAAACATGATCAGCAAATGTGATATTTAGTTGTAGTTGGAAAATGAAAAAATAGCTTGACACTGTTGGATATTCTACATGAACTTATGTTAAATGACGTGTGTCAGATATTCAAATGTTCTGTCCATGATTTCCAATTAACACAAGTGTAAATATCTCAAAGGCGCACGCACCATCTCAAGGATATTGCTCAACATCATTTATGCTGGAACGGTGAAACCTATCAAAGAGATTTGTACAGTTACAGTGATATCTAGCTATGTCCATTTTCTGGGAACATGTTGTATCTTCAGCGCCTAATCATGGCAGATACCACGATCATTTTAATCTAAAGACAGTTCTACGCGAACCTGCTGTACTTCATTTCTCCAGAGAAAAACAAAAAGGCTTTCCCTACCTGGAAATAGCTGGAGCTGTAGTTGAGGCATTCCAAGTGTTTGGATGAGATGGCCGGGATGAGAACCACTGATATTGTGCCTGATTCAAAGCGGGGTGAGTTGGGCGGGTTGGGCAGCACCAGTTTGTTGTCTGAGCTTGACATAACTGATTTGGTCAGGGTTATGAGTTCCAGGACAGTTGAGATGGCCATGGTCTGTGTTTTAAAGTCTTTGAGGAAGCAGCAACAGGTAAGGAGGTTTTGAAGCCAGTCTGGCAGGCCTAGCATACTCCCTGTGGTAGGAAATGTGGAAACATAAGAACAAATATGTGGGACTAAATATAAATAATAAATTCTAAATATACTAATAAAACAATAAGACTTTTCATGGTTATGCGTTCCAGGACCATACAGATGGCCATGGTCTAAGTTTAAAAGTCTTTAAGGGAGCAGCAACAGGTCACGAGGTTCTGAAGCCAGTCTGGCAGGCTTAGCATACTCCATATAGGTAAATCATAAGACAGGCAAGTTGGAATTAGATTAATCATCATATTCCCAGGAAACCCCAATCAATTCGGGAGGACCATCTTCTAAAGATATTCTATTTAAAATTACACTCTATACATCAACAAAGTATGCAGTGTTTTCATAATCTGGTGACCCGGGTATCGAAAACCAATCAATGTGCTAGAGCCTTTTGGTAAGGCATTAATCCTCAATACCAGGTCCCTCAGAGAGGACCTAAAGCCGTTGGCCATCTGGTTGCTTACTTACAAGCATTTATGCTTTCTTAGCAGTCAGGTTTTAAAAATAAAAAAACCCACAACCACCACCACCTCTTTTTGCTTGTGCTTATTCTGCATTATTAATGAAATACAATGCACTATAAGATCACAGAGCCATCTCTTTCATATATATCTGAAGTGATTTTTGTACAGTATATTGAAGATATAGATGAGAGTTCCGCTTACTTACCTTTGATCCTGGGTGCTTTGAGTAATGAAGCTGAAACGGTTTCATTACAGTACATTGGAAAGCAAGCAAACTCAACTAACAGATTACAAGCTGTACTGAACGCCTGACATAGCACCTTGGATGATGAACAATTGATAGTCACATCAGCTACATAGGACACAAAAATAATAGTGATTTACAATTATACATTTCAAACAAAAATATCGTCAACATTCACAAAGATATCATAGAGATCATCATACATGTACACTTTCTCAAAGATTTTAAAAAAAATGCACATGAATATGAATGCAATGTATATACAAAGTATTTTGTTTGGAAAACTAAGGACAAAGCTTACATTGTGTATTAAAATGTTGTTCATGGGCCACGATATGTAGTGCACAAGTAAACTTAATTTCAAAAAATTAATTGATGCTATATTTCTGAGTACACATATATTATCAAGCTAATAAAATTTACAGTTCAAACTACTAAGATTATCATTAGCCATAAAAGCCTTTACTCTCTTGACTTAATGTACATGTAAGTACAGTATATCAAAATCGAGTCAGTTTCAATTGTCAATAATGAAGCCTGATATCACGTGTCCCCCCTAAAAAAAAAAAAAATTAAACAGATTTTTTTTATTTTTTTTAATCTGAGCATTTGAGTTTCAAATGGTTATATCCACACAGATATCCCAAAAGTGCTGGTACTGTTAAAATGAAATCAGGCATAGAGGAAAAGGTTCAATTTGCTCACCTAAATACTGCCTGGCAGCCTCATCACTTGTCAATGCAGAGTCTGTTCTTGTCCTCACATCCTCCATCTTGTCACTCTTTGGTTTCCATGGCAACTCCTCCCATGAATTCCTCTTCTTTGTCTCTCCCTCCTCTGCCTGATCATTGTCTTTGTCAGAAGCATCCTCAGGCTCTTCCTGACCATTTTCCGAGGGACCTTTGACAGGGGAAGCAACCACGTCACCCACCTGAAGCTTGGTCATGCACGTCTTGACGATGTCCGCGTTGGGCAAGATCTTCTTGGTGATCAGTTTGGCAAAGAATGTCTGAAAGCACTGGACGCAGGCCTGCATCAAGAACATGGGAGGTCCATCCTTGTCACTCTCGCTGTTGCCCATGGATGAGATGCTAGGATTAGGTGGCTTTCTGTCAACTGTTTTGGCCTGTTCAGGACTGTCCATAGATTCGTCCAGGAGGGAACTGGAGTCCTGTCTACTGCTGAGACTGGTGGGACGACGCAGACGGGTGGGAGGGGGGTTGTTCTCGCTGAATTTCGTAGGCTGCGAGGAAAGGCGGTCAAGCGATTGCACTGTCCCAGAATCATCATCACTATCCTTGTCCTTAGCATCAATTAGTGTACTAAACTCATCATCCTCCTCTTCCTCATCCTGCTTCTCCCCTTCCTTATCCTTCAGTTCTGTTCCTACATTCATCCCCTTCCCATCAGACTGCTCACCCTTGCGTGTGGGAACTGGCGCTCTCTCTTGCCTGGCTTCACTACGCTCAGGTTCAATCATCTCGTACCCATTCTCTATCCCCTCCAACTGCTTGAGAAGAGCCTGCGGAAGCTGGTCTGGTTCGGGGTGTGGTATCAGAACGGTCTTGGTATCAGGGCTGGTCACCATGGATGGCTGGACTTTGGTCAGTAGTTTGAGGCACAGCCCAAGGGCGTGGTGAATGTCACTCAGGTCCAGGTAGCCACAATAGTTGGTCAGGGTCATGATGATCTTGCAGAGAAGCTGCGGTAGATATTCTGTTGGGGTTTCAGGGTAGGTTTCCTGTGTGGAGAATGTCATTGAAATAACAGTTAATGGAGCCAACAGAAAAGACTCTGAATCCTCTAACATTTATCAAGGATCAATAAGAAAAGAGAAACATAGTACATACATGTAGTCAACTTTCTCTACAAGAATTTATCTTGACTTAAGTCCTAAATTATGAGAATTATCTTTTTTTATAAATTAACATTTGTAATTTAATTTTGAAATAAAATTAAGTCAAATTATTTGCAGGTAATCCCCTATTAAATGTGACAACTAATGAAACCAAGTATGAAGTTCAAAGTTTAAATAGACATTGAGATACAGTACTAACAGTGTTGTCCGGTAGACCACCCAAAAATAAACTGCTCTAGAACTACCATCAGCAGTAGTGGTATACTAAATCAGCAATATGTATGAATTTGGAAAATGCAAAAGAAAGGGTAAGTACTCACTAAGGCCACAATGTCCAAGAGAAAACTGACAAGGACACAAAGTTTGGTACAAGTAAAGTTAGTACTGGTAGAGCTGGTAGAGACAGAGCCCTGTGCAGTACTTCGAAGCACACTATGCTGACAGCACAGTTCAAATTGCTGGGCAATGTATTCCCATATGAAGTACGGTTCAAACGAGTTAAAGAGCAAGTTAGCCGTCTTGATCAGCTCGATGGGCTTCTCTGCTCCCTGCAGCATCTCCCAATGAGCAAAGTCCACTTCGTTGTTTGTCGCCAAGGGAACAGAGTTGTCCGGTTTTGAGGGTGCCTTCCGCTTGGTGCAGTGGGTGAAGAGAGCCAGGAATACTTCCAGGAGGATTTCATCGATGATAGGGGTGCTGATCTCGGGCTTGTCCAGAAGGCTGATCAGGATGCGATACGGCTTGAAGAATCGCTGCTTGCTGTCCAGGTTGTACGGATCCAGCGGCGGATCGTGGAGCCACTTCCGCAGCCCCTGGATCAGCAACCGTTTGGAATGAATCTCAAAGTACTCCGACACCTCATCCTCATTGCTAACCATACTGTCATTGGTAAGCACGCTATTGGTTCTTCGATGCGCCATCATGGATTTGTCCATCCCTACCGGAGGAGCGGGAGGCAGGCTGGGTAGCTTCTTACCGTTCTCGATACCCAGCAACCAGGAGAAGAGTCTTCTGTTCAAGGACATGTCCCGACGTAGAAGAACACCGAGAGATGCCGTGAGTAGCTGGGCAAGTTCATCAGGCTCTAAGCCGCAGTTGTGGATGGGGAAGCAGATCATTATGAGGTCTAGCACACTGCGTTGAACGAGCACCACAGCATCGTTGATGGCTGCACATACAGCTTTCACCTGCAAAATAATCATTTCCATTACAAATGCAATAAATGTACATATCATTTCCAGTATCACTCATATTTTACTTCATGGCTACATCTCATTGCATTACCACAAAAAGATCTTCATAAGTTCCCCTTTCTTTTTTTCATTATTGAGATTACCAAGTACATTGTGTATGACGGTGTCTCATCCCTGTTCTGATATCCATAATTTACTTGAATACTATTTGATTGTTACGACACAAGTTTTTCATAGACCCTCAACTTTCATGTATCTTGGGCTTTGTACTCAATGGCAATTGTACGCATATGAAAAGAACATGCATTTAGAGAGTAAAAGTACACCATCTATACCTGATCTCACTATAAAACAATCTGAATTTAATATGACCATGCAAAAAGCGATACAAAGTGTAGATAACATAACCCATGTATATAGTTTTCAACTCCCAGAAAAATCTGCACTCAATAGGAATTATGTAATTGTTCTCCTGATTCTGATGTTTGTCATAATATTGCTAATAATGTAATGTTAATTGCACAAAGCAGAATTACTCAATGATGATAAAGAGATAAAGAGAAATATAAGTACTGACCATGATGCATTTGTTACTACCAAGGAAGTACTTCTGGTCACTGATAGGCAGTTTTCTGTCCACCTGAGACAGGATGAAGGAGATGGCCGGTAGTCTGACCACTGGACTGGACAGAACACATTCCCACAAAGCACCATAGAAGTTTGACTTGACCATACCGGCACATAGCTGCTCTAGCAGCGCGTTGGTACTAGGATAAACAAAAAGAAAAGAAAAACGATGGGGTTACTCTTTCTTCAAAATAATCATTCATGAAAGTTAACTGAAACGCCATTCTGATGCATGAAAATGAAAAATATGTGGAGATTATAAAGAGCTACTACTACGCTGTATCATTAAGTGCCCTCCAAGCAAACACATTTTAAACAACCTCTAAACCATTTCAATGATTGATTGCTGAAGTAATACTTTAAAGTATAGCTAGGAATAATTTAGACAATGTAAAGATTCAATGCCCTGTAGTCAACTAATTTCAAACCTGACACTGGGTTGAGGCTTTTGTCCTAATAAAGTTGGGTGGAAGTTGTCTGAGGTCTATGTTTTCCTTTAGTTAAACATGATTTTAGAATCAGGGTCAGGTTCAACTGAATTAGTGGAATACAGACCTACATGTACATGTAAGAGTTTGGCAATGAGAACTAGTAGAGTCAACACAATGCCGACTTGGTCAGGGTTATTTTTTCTGAGGAAGTATACAAACTCCTTCCAGCCTCGTTCAGATATGGGGTGGCGAAAAGTGGAGAATTTTGTTGTGATAACATAAAGTATAATAAGCTTCATATTTCTGTATCTTTAAACACGGAGCTCAGTCAGTACGGTAGGACCTTTGTCACATGCAGTTGCCATTCAATTATCTGAACAAGCCTTTAGCTTGTTAGCCAGGTTTGTTCTCATGTGCCATACCTGTCAAAAAAATCTGAACCTTCCTCTAAACCAGGAAGGATGCCCTGGAGGAGACCTGTGAGGGCAGGCTTCAGATGCTCTCCTAACGGAAGATAATGCTCCTCGTATATATTGAGTAGAACAGGCTTGACCGACATGGAGGCATTGCCGAGCAGAGGGAATAGACCTGCACTGTATATGAACATGTCCTGAAAAGAAAACAATGTTTTTTCTTCTAAGTATAATTCTAAGTATACTGTTATAAGTATACTTTCTTACAGACATGTTTTAAAAATGTAAATGTAAGGTATCTTAATATGCAATACCATTCATATAGCATTTCTACAATATCACTTTATAGTTGTTAAGCCTTATAAAAACTATAATTGTACCACTTTATACATTCCATTGTTCTACAGTTGTCCTTAACAAAAAAATAGATTGCTCAAGACTTCTGGCAATGACTTCTGTTTTGTTTGTTTTGTTTTACTATAGTATAAAAACTCAAGATACTATACACATTACCTTTTTTTTCCCCCACCAATATGTTCACGATTGTTATACAAAATTGGGTTTTTATTTTAAATTAAGATTCATTGCACATAGCTGTATGAATAAGTTAAAATCAATCCTAACTCTCAAGCTTTGAATCTAGCTGGCATTTGTTTGAATCCACCATAACTGATATCTTGATCTTCATAATGCTAAAGATTGACATCATAAACGGTAGCAAGTGAATGCAATCAGGTGATAATAATAATAATAATAGCCTAATAGTCCACTCCAAATTTTATTAAACCGAAACAGAAATTATTTTTGCCCAATTGATCGTGAGCCCGGCAGCCACTGAGCAGCGCCAGATCGACGTTGCTCTAACCCTTATTGTTGAACGCCAAACAAGGTAGCAACAACTCCCATCTTTTAACGTCTTTTGGTATGATGCGGCCGGGTTCGAACCCACGACCTCCCGGTTGTGAGGCGGACGCTCTACTGACTGAGCCAACACTCCCGTTTCATAGATATATATATATATATATATATATAAAGAGTAAACACAAAATAAAACCAGCTGTTCAGTTTTAAAGGCCAGATGCTATTAACCATGAGATTTTCCCACAATAATAAAGCAGTGGTTTCTGCTGTGCGATGTAAGCTACCGGTACACATACAGTGTAGCAGATATATCTTTAATTATGTACAATGTTCTACATGTAAGCATTGAAAAAAGGCAGGTACCAATTTCTTCTTGCATTAAGCAAACAGACATGATAAATGAGAGCTACAATGACAGATATATATATATATATATATATCTGCTGAGTACATACATGTACAATGTATATCTGTCATTATGAACAATGTTTACAAACATAATTAATATGTAAGCATTGTAGAAAGTTATGCCCTACGCAAACTGACATTTAAAAAAAACAGACTCAGTTGCTGAATTGAAACAAAATCCCTCAGTACCCTGAAGATATCCTTTGGTAAAAATGATTGAAAAATGTGGATTCACGCAGCCATATGGCATTGCAGCATCTGCCATGGATGCTGAATACAAAACACCACAATCTGGCTTAATGCCACATATTTCAAGGGATGTTTCTACAAATTGTTGGATCAATGAGATTCAGTGCATCTAATATCATAAAAACATGAATATTTTGTTGCTTTGATTGATCCTGTAGGGATAAATACTGCAAACTTTGGTACATAATACTTCATTAGTATGTACTTTGAATACATAATCACCTATTGGTAATGGAGCGGAAAAGTGTGTGACAAAAAATCTATCCAATGTACATGTACACACCATTACAAAATTGCATTAGGATAGTTGTCATGCTTCAATTATCTTTCTCATGGACACATGGAAGAAATAGTCATGTTGCAGACTTACTTTACATTTCAGTGCACGTCATGGTTTTATGCCCTTTATTATGGGTATGCCCGTTTGGTTGTACTCTTTGGGCCTCTCCACACTCTTGCTCTAACAGCTTACCTGACATAGCAGCTTTGGTCCGATGAATCTAAAGATAAGATCATAAGTTTCTAAGGCCTTGAGGTTACCTGAGCTTACCTGACATAGCAGCTTTGGTCCGATGAATCTGAAGATAAGATCATATGTTTCTAAGGCCTTGAGATGGACCCCGCTAGGAAGGGCAGGATGCGTGCACTGGGCCAAACGTTTCCCAATCAAGAGACGCTTTGGAATGATACGGTACCGCGAGTTTGTTTGCAGGACCTAGATGTAGATATATAAAGGATAAACAGAAGTTACATGTATCTTCAATCACATTATTAAATTAAGGTTAAACAAATATTTTTTGGGAAGTCAATGGAATATTGATGTTAAAGTAGTGTAAGCCATTCGCAGTGGGTTATAAGGATTAGGTGATGTGGGCTTGTGGAGAAGTCTCCAGACTGTAAATCACAAGGTACAGGGTTCAAATTCCTCCCTTTGGCAAGACAAAGGGATTTGCTAAAATTGATTTTGATTTATCATTATTGATTTACCAATTTACCTCTACATTTGCCACACTCAACACTGGTGTAAGTGGATACTACATGCATACCTGCCAACCTGAGACAAGAGAAATTAGGAGTAAATTTTTCTGGACGGACTACGAGGTCGCGAACCACCGAAGGATTGGGGTAGTAGCTCGTAGATTGGGGGGGGGGGGTACACAGGACTTTAGGGTCTATTTTTTTTTCCATGTCGCTGTGTATATCTTCTATGAGCGCCAGCGCGGATGTCGGCGTGATCTGGTTATCAGTGCTGTGTTATGCTTTAGTCTTATACATATTGGTATTTATTGAGCGCCTTTACATGAACATGCTCAAGGCGCTTTACATTTCAAAATACAAACATAATAGTTATATACTCTCCAAGTGCATTACACTCTTTTTAAAAATTAAAAAAATTAAAAAAAATTAAATTTTTTTTTTTTTTAAATCAGAGTTTTGAGGCATGCACTCGGAATTCGGAGTTGGTATGAAAAATGCGGAGGAACTCCGCCTAAATCGGGGTGGTTGGCAGGTATGTACATGTATGTAGGATTATTTCCTTGAATTTACTGAGCTCTACAGTTGCTGGAGCGAAAAGCTGGATTATATATCCAAAGTCCTTTGGAAGCGCATAGAGATGTTATTTCATAATGTAATAAGTGCTATACAAGAACGGAATATTATCGTATTAAGGGTTAGCCAGGGAATTCAAACATGTATTCTCTATCATAAATACACAACAAAATGTGTATGAATGTTACGGGCATGAATTGGCTCTACTCTGCATGTCTAAGACTCAAAATCTTAGTAATAGAATACTATTAGAAAATAGAAATTCAGTCAAAGTTTTGGTTCTCATTATTTGTTCTACACTCTTAATTAATGAATGGCTTTCCCCTTCGTACAGGAAAGGAAGTCACATGAAGTATAAAGGCTAATCACATTGTTTATCTCACTCACAATGGAAAAGATACAAAATGAAAATGAAACTTGTTTGAAATGGAAGTGGTAAAATCCTGCTGCAGTTACTTGTAAATATTTAGACCACAAATAATACAAAGAGAAGTAGTTTCACAATTGGCAAGATATATATTTGATTTAATTTATGATCATGTGATTTTTGTTTTCTTCTCTTGTTTAATACTTGCCCTATGTGTTGAACCATATGGATCTTTTGAATTTTTATTTAAATTTATGTAAACAAGGAGGATTTTTGTCTTACAACATTAATTCACTTATTTGAAAATCATATGTACATGTGTATATTGTATAGGTCTTCCCAGACAAGACTAAAAAAAAATGTAGTGTAAAGCCTCATTCACATATTGTAGGACATGGTAAACCAAGTAAACAAAGTAAAAACCTTTTAGCATGTAAATGGCAGGCATGTAAGGACGAAAAAGAAGTAGCTGTTTGCAACAAAGGTCCGTACCTGGACTCATTTATCTATATGATATCAGAAACAGAAATGTGAAGAGCACTATGCTTAATTTTGCCGAGCCAGTTTTGAGCCAGTTTTGAGCCAGTTTACCACATCCTACCATGTTAGTGAAAGGGGTCTAGCCCTGACGGTAATACCATCCATACCTTGTTCAGCTTTCCCAATGCCGAGATGAGGTCCGCCCATTCACTGGAGTACTCGAAGGCCTTGAGCGCCTTCTCTACCGCGCTGACATAGGCACGGTACTTGGGCTCCGACAGCAGCTCGTTCTCATCCATGTTCATGGAATCTGGTAAAGAACGCTGTCCATTGGATTGACCAAGGATGATAGGTCCTAGGCTGACCTTGGGAAGGTTCTTCACACCGTTGTTGATTGCAGTCACTCCCTTCCTGTTTGAAGATTTAAAAAACAAAGATGCATATTAGGCTAGATTTTCCACCAAAAAATGATAGCTTCTTTTCAGTTGGTGAATACACATACCGGTACCCTGTCAAATCTATTTTTGCTGTCAGAGTGCAGTTAATATTTCATGGGTATAGCAGAGAATGCTTTTGATTGGACAGACCACTGATGACAGTTTCCAGGCTGGCCTTAGGAAGGTACTTGACCCCCCTGTTGATAGTGGTCACTCCCTTTATTCGAGATTCAGAGTCTGGAATACAACAATTTGGTTAATTTTCTTCAAAAATTTAAACATGGAGCTCTTCTCTTTTTTTTAAAGTGCCATATCAATTGACTTTGGCGATCATGCTGTTCCACAACCCTTGGCTCCTAGTCTTCTATATTAGCACCACTCCCAGTTCTTTCACTCCTCTTTCTTCTAATAATTTCTGCAGACTGTCCATCCAAAGTATCCTCCTTCTTCCCCTACTCCTCCTTCCCACAATTTTCCCTGTCAAAGCAAGATGCTCTAGGCCTTCTTTACATGCAATGTGACCCATGAACTACCTAATTAACATCTCATGTATCATTTCTCTTTGCACTCCAGGGGGGTATTTCATAAAGAGTTTGTAAAGTTACGCATGACTTTACGCACGACTTGTATATGAAGTGCCAGATAGGATGCCCTAAATTTTTTCTGATATTTCCAATAACCTCAATTAAATTATGGCAAAAAATAAACTTTGTATTAAAAATGTTTGTTATAATAAGAATGTTAATCTACATCATCACAGTTCAACTTAATAAATAATAATCAAGAATGATTAAGTATCCCATTTCATATACAAGTCGTTCGTAAAGTCATACGTATAACTTTACGAACAGCTTTATGAAACACCCCCAGCTCTTCTAAGAACTTCCTCATTACTAACTTTGTCAGTCCAAGGGAATTTTATCATTCTTCTTAAAAACCATGTTTTGCAACTTTCCAAATGCTTTTTTAGTATCAGAGGCTAAAGTCCATGTTTCACTTAGTTCAATGACTAGTAAAAAAAAAAATTATTGAAAAAAAAGGAAAAAAGCTTGAAGTAACTGGAAAAAGCTACTTGACAATCAATGTAGATGCTTCTACGTACGCTTCTGCCTAATCAACATCTCACATATCATTTTCCTTTGCACTCCAGCTCTTCTAAGAACTTCCTCATTACTAACTTTGTCAGTTCAAGGGATTTTCATCATTCTTCTTAAAAGCTACATTTCGCAACTTTCCAAATGCTTTTTAGTATCAGAGGCTAAAGTCCATGTTTCACTGAGTTTCAATGAGTATATAGTAAACAAATTATTCTTAAAAAGAAAGAAAAAAGCTTGAAGTCACTTGAAAAAGCTACTTGACAATCAGTGGAGACGCTTCTACGTACAAAATATGTACAAGGGATTTTCATCATTCTTCTTAAAAAACACATTTCGCAACTTTCCAAATGCTTTTTTAGTATCAGAGGCTAAAGTCTATTTTTTACTGAGTTTCAATGAGTAGTACAAAAATTATATATAAAAAAGAAAGAAAAAGCTTGAAGTCACTTGAAAAGGCTACTTGACCTTCAGTTGAGATGCTTCTACAGTACGTACACAAAATGTACAAGGTGTTTGCTACATTTTACAGAGCATGTACAATTTTATATTCCACTTACAATCGCAGAAAGTTTGTATTGTAACACTAGAAAAAAATGAACTCTTTCTCTGTACCAAGAGCTGCAAGTATAAAAAAGAGATGATTAAAAACTCCATGGATCAACACTAATTCCTCTCTAATCCCTGCTAATATTATCTAATCCTCAATGACATAATAGTGCATAAGCTTTGACAATAATCTCTTTATTCTCTCCCCTCTCTCTCTCTCTCTATCTGACACATTCACTCTCTCTCTCTCTCTCTCTCTCTCTCTATCTATCTCTCTCTCTTGCTTTCTCTCTGCCTCGATACATTTTGCAAGAGCCAATTTCCATTCATCAGATTTCCCTGATTTTGAGATGCTTATTCTAAACAGCTGTGAAGTTTCTGTCTTCTACAGTCAAGTAACAGTAACACATTTTGAAGAGAGAGTTGAAAAATTATTTGCAGGCTGCCACATTATTTTCCTTTGCTTTCTTACATAATTTGCATCTACATGTAAGCCTCTGTGTGTTCAAATGATGCAAGTTTAAATACAAGATGATCGAGAGTAAGTTTTACGCTCAGTTCACAGTAGGCTACTGCAGAAAGACGTTTGTGACTTGCAGTTATGAGAATATTCTTATGGCAGACAGTATGCACTCATAAATTCCAGAAAGTTCATGATTTAAAAAAAGAACAAAATCTTTGCATTCACTGATCCACTTTAAAAACAAAATTGCATTATAAGTCAGTTATTAGTGGGGTAATTAACATTTTCATACTTTGCCTTTAAGGTTTTTTTTCCCCCCTCCCCCCAGCACTACTTTTCAAGTTTTCCATGGGTGCAACCAACAACCAAATTGCTCTCCGCTCCTACATGTACATGTATGTACACATATTCCTTCATGGTGCATAATATTGCAGGGAGTCTGAGCTTGTAGACTACTAAGCATCTACACAGCAGGGAAGTTTTCAACTTGAGAGAACATTCAAAGGAAGTGAGATGACAGCGATAGGATGACACATCAAGACATCATCGGAAAGAAACATCATCATCTTCTTCCACCTGCGCATGTACAATGTAGTCTTTATCTCAGACCAGGTAGATTAACCCCATCTCCCTGCCTGGACTCATAAATGATGCAACTAAATCAATCATAAATCGTCGCTGTTTTCACGAAGTGACGGTAGTGAAAAAAAATTGCATTCACTTTGCGTTACGATTTTCCTCACTACCGTCACTTCGTGAAAACAAGGACGAAATGATGCAATTTGTTCTCACCTAAGATGAGGACATTTCCTCAAAATGAGTTTAAAAGTATAAAATTAGAGCAAAATAGAAGAAGTAATTCATTCTGTACGATTCTCTGTACAGGTACATGTAGAGTGAAGAAGAAGGTAAACAAATCTGTCAGACGTGTAGTCTAAATATTCAGACTCAATGGTCTCGACAAGAAGGGCTACATGTTAACATTACACACAGGCAATGTGCAATGTACACATACATGGACATCTTGTCTATAGAGTTCAGACCCTGAATCATGACTAATAAGGATAAGTTCTAGCACGCCAGGACATTCAGGGTTATGTACAGGGTGTAGAGCAATATTGGTTGATATTCCTATGTAGATACGTGACACATCTCAATCAGCTAATATTGACTCAATTAGTGATCTAAATCTATCCATGTTGGATCCTATGTACAAAAGGAAGTACCATCTGCTTGTAAACACAAGTTTCTCTTGCCATCAAATGCCATCAAACCTTCAAAGCATACTGTACATGCATATTAAAAAATTATAAATCAGAAAATTGAGTTGCACAAAATGAAGTACACTTCTAAAGTTGATAGCGATATGATAATGATAATTTTCATGACTTACATCCTTTGTCTGTTGACATTCATTAGGATAGTAGCTCTGTTCCTCTAAATATACATGTACATGGAGGAGTAATACGCACTTCCAATCAGGTCTCAAATGGCTTACAACATGTACACACTGTATTCCTTTCCTGCATTTGCTGCTCAAGGGTCACAAGCGGCATAAGGACCTTGTCTAGAAACCTGAAGTACACCACTGTACCAGCAGTTTTAGCTTTGTTTTACAAGCAATATTAACCAGCATTTCTTACGGGTTCTTGTTGCTTTTTTGTTTGTTTTTAATAATAAATAAATAATGCAACTGCAGTGTCTTAATGATCTGATGGGGTCATGTTGGAATGCACGTAGCAAAGCTCGTAAATTGTACACATTTATTGGCTGTACAGTACAATGTTCACTGAAAGGTATATAAAAGATGACTCATTATAGGCGAGAGGCATACATGTATTAGCACAGTATATACAAATGTACCTGGCAGTGTCTATGCATGATCATCAATTTGAGACAAGGCTGGGAGGAAAAAAAAGAGAATGAAATTGACTGTCCACTATTTTTGTGTCTCTTTTTCATGCCACAACTCCCACACCTCTCTACATCCCCTCCCCCTCCTCTCTCTTTCTCTCTCTCTCTAAATTGTTCTCTATTTATTCCCCCCCCCCTCCCCCCCCCCCCCCCCTCTCTCTCTCTCTCTCTCTCAGTAGATAATCTCGTTCATACATTGTATCTCTCTTCCTCAACGTTCCTCTTCCTCCTCCTCCTCCTTTGTCTCTCTGTCCTTTACCCCCCCCCCCCCTCCCCCCCAGCTCTTACTCTCTCTCTCCCTCTCTCTCTCTCTCTCTCTCTCTCTCTCTCTCTCTCTCAGTAGATAATCTCGTTCATACATTGTATCTCTCTTCCTCAACGTTCCTCTTCCTCCTCCTCCTCCTTTGTCTCTCTGTCCTTTACCCCCCCCCCCCCCCCTCCCCCCAGCTCTTACTCTCTCTCTCCCTCTCTCTCTCTCTCTCTCTCTCTCTCTCTCAGTAGATAATCTCGTTCATACATTGTATCTCTCTTCCTCAACGTTCCTCTTCCTCCTCCTCCTCCTTTGTCTCTCTGTCCTTTACTCCCCCCCCCCCCAGCTCTTACTCTCTCTCTCCCTCTCTCTCTCTCTCTCTCTCTCTCTCTCTCTCAGTAGATAATCTCGTTCATACATTGTATCTCTCTTCCTCAACGTTCCTCTTCCTCCTCCTCCTCCTTTGTCTCTCTGTCCTTTACCCCCCCCCCCCCCCCCCCCCCCCCCCCCTCTTTCTCTCTCTATCTCTTTCTCTCTCTCTCTTCCTCTCTTTTCCTTCCTTCTTTCCTTATAATGGTACTCCTGGTTCTTCCACAAGTTAAATTAAGTACAAAAAGTCATCCATGAACATATTTGTTCATACTCTCGTCCATTCCATACCTAAAAGCAATTACACATCTTTCCTGATCTCACACGATTCAGGTAATGCACCGTACAGCTACAGTACATACAGGTTGTATCAAACAACCCATACACATCGCTGTTTGATCTATGGTTAATCATTAGGCCGAACCTTTTAATAAAACCTTTATGTTCTGTTGCAAGCTCCAGTACAGGCAGTACTCAACGCATTTCCAAAACTAATTTTCTTTATTGCTCACTTGGAGAAGCATGCAGGGATCGCTAAGCCTAGGCTGTGCTGGCAGACTACATGTCAGTCAGCTGGTCAGGAAACTGACCTTGAATGTGGACAAGTTGGCAAGGTCAACAAACTTTTCAACAGTCGCCAGGTTTAAACACTTTTACTGTAGTGTAAACAGCTTTCACACTTTAATACTGTAGTGTAAACAGCTTTCCTCACACTGCCGCAAGAGCAAGATCCGGATGCATTGTGTTCCAAATGGGTCACTAGACACTACACAGCTGACAATAATCAATACAATTCCCTTTTTGCTTCAATGCATTCTATATTTTTAGAAAATCTCGCCACCTACAGTACAGTAGTTTACAGTTTACACACAATTACACGTATGAAGAATTACACCTACATGTAAATCTCTTTTGGTTTTTTTGTATGTGTGTTGTTGTTCTGTCCAAGCTATAACTTAAACTACATGTACATGAACATACATTATCATGCTCATGTACATTTACTACCCTTGTGATAGACATACATGTACAGTGTTTCGTCATCTTTTCTTTAACAGACTTATCCTCTTTGTTTTCTGCATTGTACGCACCTAGAAGCTGTTGCGCCCCATTTTCAAGTTTTAATTTTTGAATAAATCTGTCACCACTTGACAAAGGCTTATATCCTTAAATTTAAATATTTGCATCTCCTACAGTTCTTCCCTATGCCTACATGCCTACATTTTAATAACCGTAAATTTGTTTCATATTGTGAAACATACGTGTGTACCCATCATTACTAGAAGTCCATATTATACAGTGTACCTTTAAATTGTTCATACCAGCATTATTATTTCATCACGTGCCCATGATATATCATATACATGTAGAAGAAATATGATCTTTCGAACAACAGGATAGTTTTGAGTTTTACAATGAGCATTAAACACAATTTTGCTTTGTCATGAAAAAACAGTTCTTGGCTAGGAGATTCAAATTGTTAACTTGGAAAATGTTTCATGCTCAGCACTATCACAACCTTCCAATAAAAGTTGTCATAATTTATTGGGGTGGGGGGGGGGGGGGAATAGAAATTCATAGCTTTGTCAGATTTTATTCCAACTTACATAAATCTGTTCCTCTTATTTTTTTTACTATGTTCCTTCAGAGCAACTTGCTATCATTCTATCAAGGTTTGATTTATCTTAATAGTTCAAGTTCAAGAACAGATTATGGATAAACTGAGTTTTAGCAAACAGCGCTGAAATGGCAAAAAGCACACTTATGGGGGGGTTAAAAATTAACTTAAAATTAAGCTGAATAAAGAACATAAAATATTGTAATTATACAGAAAGCATATTTCAAAATTTATATCCTGTTATTACCTGACTTTGTCCTTCATGGACGTTGTGGTGCTTTCACTTCGCTTCATGGTATATCCTAATTAATCCGGCACGATAAGTAAACATCCAAGAGGAACATAGCTATGTGTACCAACTAATCCTTGCCTGGCATTAGAGAGTATGATAATGATCCTGAGTACACAATCAATGTTCATTAGCGTGTGATTCATGCAAAGATGTGCAGGCCAGGGTTGATTTGTAGATGGAGATCACTATCAAACAGAGTAAAATCAGACACATAGATGCTTTCAGGGAATACACTGTAGATGGGTACTGGTACATACATGTAATCATCACAATTGCTCAACAGAAGTTTGCATGTTAAAAATCTCTTGAGTAGTAAACGCGAGTTCAACTTCACAGAGTCTCACAAATCAAAATAGTGATGTTAGCACCTTAATGTCAAAGAACCAGAGAGAAGTCAGAACCAATGGCTAGGAAAAGAGACATCCAGACATAGCCTCCAGGAGCATCTACGTGTAACATCCATTAGAGAGCCAAGCGCCCACACAAATTTCTACGCCTTCTGTCTGGGAAGATCTGATTCCTCAGCAAAGGCCCTTTTTGACCTCAGCTGATCATACCTTCTGAAAATAAAAATGTATTCCAGCATGAAAATGTAGACATGGACTCAGGGTTCCTGCATGATCCTCACTTTTAAAAATTCAACACACCTGACGAGTCTCTTTCATTCAATAGCTCTTATGTTTACTGTGACATTAATATGCAAAAGATAAGTTCTCTTTCTGGTGTACTTCCAAAGAGCAGCTGCAATGGGATTGTCATTGAATGTTCAAGTTAAAGAAAATACTCCCTCCTCTGCATGCAGATATTCTTTTGACGACTCACAGTTGGGCTTAAAGAATCTATCATGCTAATTTTGAAAGCCTTTGAGACCTGTAAATTTACGCCAGATCCATGGTTGTGACTCAATTTCTGATGCAAACAAAATAAACAATGTTGAAATCCTTGTCTCCTCATAGAGAGTCCAATAAACATCTACATGTATTTGCAGAATCTATACAAAGAACTAGTTTTTACAACCCAGGACAGACAGTGCCTATTCAGTATTGATGCAGTGACGTCTGTACTGCAAAGACCTACTGATGGCATATGTGTGGCAGGGGGCAGTAGGCGTGACACGGATCAATAAGATCTACTGATCCTTAGTCAGCCTTCAGAATAGAATAGATAGAATTATTGAAATTGTGAATAGCCATTGATTCAAAAGCTTGGCAATGCTATAGATATTACTAGGAGAGAATATTACTTGGAATCTGGCTCCACAACAAATCAATGAATGAAAGAACAAACGGTTTGACGCTGTACGCAAGGTTACATCGACTTGATCAAGATCGCACTTCTGGCTGGCAACCAAAGACATTGATCCATAATGACAAATTTGTAGAATACATGGAACAATCCATTCATACGTCAGTTGCACTTCAAAACATTTATCCAACACAAGTATGTTCCTTTCAATGATGTCCATACCGTATAACCATTCACTGGCTACAAGAGTATCTTGATGCATAAACAATTAATATTCTGCAATTGCAATTATTGGAAGACTAAAACAACATTAGCCCAAGCAAACAAGAATTTAAGACAGTAAGCTTGTACGTATGTACATGTAGGACTGAATGAATTCCTTCGAAACTGTTGGAAGAATAGTAAATAGAATCCTTTTCTGTCACGGTAAACACACTGCAGAACACATTCTCGACAAATGAACATTCATGACTCTTCAACAATGACTGAACAAGATCCAATGATCTGTAGGAAGGACATCAGCACAAAAGGCCCTCAAGAACACTCCTCGAAGATGAAAGTACAAAACGGAGGGTGAAGGACATTAGAACACTGTCTATGAAGGATCACAAAAAGAGAAACCTGGAAGCAATTATCCGGCTAAAGAGAAAAATCAAAACTTTCCAATACAGTTCCTAACATTAATGATATCACTCGATAACGAAGGCCTTCATGGCTGGTATCACTCCAATACCACACAAGAATACTACAGTCCTGGCCAACTTGAGTAAAGTCCAAGTGTTTGGATGTACACCAACATGTGTAACTACATGTAGACCAAGGATCTCCTTTCTATCTCTTATAGTGACCTGAACTACCTGTATATATTTTTTCCCCTATACTGTAGAATGGGATGTTTTATTTTAAAAACGATTACCGGTATGTGGAACGCTTTATCGGACCATTACAAAAGAACATCCCTGGGAATGGAGCAGAGGGGAGATCTACAAGTATCACCCTCTTTTATACCATTCTTATAACCTCCACTGCACAGAGATTTTTACCAGGGCTGCGTTCAGATCAGACTACAGAAATCCATTGTATAGCTATAAGAGAATCGTTTCTAGCTATACAATAAAAGTGATTACATTGTAGGATCTGTAGTCTGAACACCATATAAAGAAATGCTGTTTGGGCATCATTTGGAGCAAAAAGATGATGAAGAATCAGCATCCCAGTCTAGTCTGAACATCGTATCGTTTCAAAAATCATATTAATTCTTCAATCAACGTTTCTTTATACGATTTTCATATGAATTACCTATAGTCTGAATGGGCTTTCAGTTTATTCCTCATGGACCAACTGAAGAAAGGTGGGATCTCAAGACATGTAAGGGACATGTACATGTACATGTAGATCTACTAATTAATTGACTCTCCCATACATTATGTATTACAAGGTACAATAGTACATGTACCCCCTACCTTTGGAGTTGAAAAGGTCAATATCAATGATGGTAACAATAATTACACGTAGCAAGTAATACACTGTTGAATACAGGTACTGATCAACAGTATTTGTGGTATAAACAACAACAACAAAAATCATTAAAGTAAACAATGATCCTTTTTACTACCAATATTTTCACTTTTTGTTTCATATTTGGTGTCTGGTGGTGTTATTTTTTAAGATGTATTTTTTGCACAGTTAGGCAGTACATTCCAACCTCCTATATCCCATTCATTTTAAGTGCTACATGTTTTTGTTGCCTTCATTTATAGAAATAAATTCAACCATTTTGATTTAATGTTTTCTTCAATATAAATACTTCTCTTGACCTACCATTAGAAGAATGATTACAGTTATATCTATCATCGACATACTTGTAAGTAGGACTAGGTATTATACAAAGAAAAAATATGGTTTAACTTACTCAATTTTCATAACACTCCATTGATGGCCAGGTGAAAACATCTTGAATTCTCAATTTTTACCAAGTAAAGCTCAAGTCCTTTTTCATATGTGTAGAAATCTATACCTCTTCATTTGATAACAACAAACCCTACACTGCCATATTTCCACTACTTTCACTCGGAAAATGGTGTTTTAATGTACAATGTACATTCAATGTACTTTTGTAAATCTGCAGTAATAAAATGATCATCAGTAAAATCCAACTGGAAAATTAATCCTCATCAACAAAATACACTGCCATATTTCCACGACACTAAATTGGCATTCGGTGTTTTACAGTCAATGTACTATTGTACAAAAATTGCAGAACTGAATAATCACCACTGACCAGTAGAATCTAATTGGAATATTAATCCTCATTAACAATTAGAAAGACAGTATGTATGTAATGTGCTTGACTGCTGTATTGATGCCCTGATTGAACTGTTTCAAGTAGCCAGACAAGCTTTGTAGTGGGGCCATGTTGTAACTAACACCCTCAATTCTTATGTTGAGTAACTCCCATCCAATACCAGATAAGGACCTATCGACCTCATTATGACTGATTACATAAAGCCCTATCTATTAGTATCTCCCCTCAAATACCAGCATTATCTCCTCAATTACGTCTGCATGAACATGTGACCTCTAATATTGGGTTCATCTATTGCTACAATATACAGTATAGCTCCCAGATGAAATTAAAAATCAAAAGTTCTGGTCATCAGTGTATGAAAATACTTTTAGTCTAGATAGGAGCTCTTTTTTCATTTCCTACAAAAAATGGGATTTCATCAGAGATGATTTTGTTGATTATTATTATTATTTTTGTGTGCGTGTTTTATTTTTCCTGAGGTCTTTTTGAGATTCCCAGGGAAATTAAAAAGTCTCCCACAACTACAGTGATTTCCACACCCACATCCCATTTCACTGTTGACCACCGGTCCACCGCCTTATTCAGGATATGGTTAGCAGCCGACAGTGTACCTTGTACTTATGGACATAACAAATACGGTAGCAGGTGGTACTGTACACCTTTTTTTATCATTCTCTCAACTAGTAATGACCTTTTTATTTTTAAAAGCATTCTTAGCCAGTTCAAATGAAATGGATGACATTTACCTTAAAAGGGACATACAAATACTATACATCTATACAAATACTATACATACATGTACAATGTATCAGAGAACAAAACTACATGTTGGGACTATATCCAATGATCTGTTTATTTGGCAGGTAGATTTTCTTCCAACTGTACCACAAATTAAATATAATAAAAGATGTGGGCTTTTTCAAATGGTTTTATCTTGACTTGTTGTATACATCTGCAATATTCTCAAATTGAACATTTGTCAATGACTATTAGAATTACATGTACATGTACATATACAGTGAACTATACAATTATTGATACCATTACCAAATTTTGAATAGTTGTGAAAAATTGATTTGTCCTGATTTTTGTTTCTTGGGAATATGACATAATAAAGCTTACATCTCAAAGTCTTCAACAAAGGTCCTAATTCAATCAGACCACCTTTCATTCTTGAGTTACACAAAAAATAAAAATAAATTAAAACAAATCCAAGGGTATACATAATCTACCTTTGTTGTTAACTGTACATTTTGTTGTTGTAATGAATGAATAAAGAATGGCAGTATATTAATACTGAATCAATATTGAATACATGTACATCTTATCTTATGCAGGTTCTCCTTTCATTTCAGACTCTACCACATGTGTATAAGTGCCCCATAAACAAAGTCTATAAAAGGCAAACAAACGTGGTCATGTGACCCATGCACATGCCCACATCATTTAGATCAAAACAGTCAATGCATTTACGTGTAAGGTATAGATATTTCCTAATTCTAAATCTAGGCTGACTGGTTGTAAACCATTCATCATCCCTACCTCATGACTAGCTTTAGAGTTTGATACCTCAATGGGATGCTATTGTCACTGAATAAAGTCAATAAATGCACACGATCATTTCCACGTGGTCAGTATTGAGCTAAAATTAGATATGAGGAAATACTATGCTTTCACACTGGCAGTGTCACACATCAGTGCTCAAAATTGTACATGTACATGGGAGAGCAAAGTGTGAATTATTGAATGTTACCTTCATGTGTGTGTATTTTAAGAATTTCTAAAAACAGTGTATAAATTATATGTATTAGATTTGAATTTGATCCATGATTCTTTACACTCTATAACATGTACAGCACCAATATTATATATCACAGCAAAACACAATGATAAAACTCTACAGGCTAAATTACAAATAAGTAAAAGTAATACTCCTAAAAATCTGGAGAAATTACAATTTCGAAATTTGTCAGATAAACAAAAATATAGAAACATCAGGTTCAAACTGACGGATATGAGTTTATAAACCTATTATTATAAAGATTCCTCAAACAGGATGTTATATGGACTGTAGAGGAGAGTCACCACCTGTTGCACTATGATCTGAATATAAAGAGTAGGGGGAAAACCACACCTAAAACACACATTACACTTTCATGATGTTTGTTAGAATTGATTTTAATCCAGAAAAGTTCAAAAAAATGGATCATTTGGTTTACACCTAAAGCTAGTATGAGGTCCATCCCCTTTACGGTTAGACTTCATGCATTGTACATGTAGGAGTGGGAAAAACCCAGTGCAGTGGTCCACCTGCACATCCTAATCAGTTACATTGGATTACACTCACTAAATTTGCTTTCCCCTCCCATTCATAAACTTGGAGACCCCAATGTTGTATC